TCCGAAGAGAGCAAATAGTGTTGCCAATTTTTTCGCACGTCTTGATCGCTTTCGAGAAGGAAATCCTCTGTTTATTAATATAGCGTGGCATTTCGGGTCTGATCCTGGTTCGTTAATTAAATTGGTCTCTTCATTACATTGTTTTAAACATAATTACTTGTTTTTGGAACATATTATGAAATGTTGCGGTAGATGACAGAGATAATCTCTCACAACTTTGAATTTTTTCGGCAAACAGTAAGCCTAAAACAATGCAAGTTGCTGGGATATGATATCTTTATTTATTTTATTATCCCTTGACAGCATTTGTTCAAGAAATTATTTTATCCGCTACAGTTTGTCCATTTAAATGTTTTATCTCCTGTTCATGGGCATCGTAATTTTCGAATTGTTACACGTCTTGCATGGCTTTAACAGTATTTTCCAAGATTTCAGGGAATATCAACAGTAAAACATCATCATCATCAGTAGCAGCAGGATGTTTAGATTATTGTGGCATAGATACGATGTTGCATATCACATGTTGTCAATATACAAAAGAGCAATCAATAAGACATTTAGAACAAATTAAAGCATTGGGGTTAAAAAATATTTTGGCTCTTCGTGGTGATCTTCCCCGGCAGGTAGGTTCTAAGAGAATATGATTTATTGATTTAGCAGATATTGATTAAGAAACTATCAGATTGAGGAAAATGATGCGCATTCTCTAAACTATACTGATGTTAATGAGCTAAAATGAACTTTAAATAATAAATTCTAAATAATTTTATATGATTTTTATTTTTTAATATTTGACGCTGCACAAGTTTACTATTTTTAGCTAGTGTTAGGAAGTTGATAAAATATTCCAAATCTTTCATAATCTTCTATGCGAATGAATTGTAATATTTCCATTTGAATATATTAAGCATACATATGGAATTATCATGAAATTGCAGGACGAAAACACAGCACTGTATAAATATCGCGCTTTAGATCTCATTCGATGGATAAAAGAGGAGTATAACGATTACTTTACTATTGCATGCTCCGGTATATTTTGATCATAATTTCTGCATTTCTTAATAGTAATAGCAACAATAGCAGACTAATAACGTGGTGATCATTAAAGCTATCTGATTATCCAGAACAGGACATCTGTTACTTTTACCATTAAAGAAATAGTTGTGGAAGTTCACGAAACATTTAAAGAAGACTTACAATACAATGATGATGAAATGATCATAAAAAAGATTACGATATTACGCAAGAATTTTATACGTATTGCTTTTGTTCTTGTACATTGGAATAAAGGGAAATTTTCAGGCTATCCTGCTGGACATCCTGAGGCTCCGAGTTATCGAGCTGACCTTTTATATTTAAAAGCAAAAGTAGACGCAGGAGCGGATTTTATTATTTCTCAAATAATTTTCGATTGCAAAATTTTCGAAAATTTTCTACGTGATTGTCGTGAAATTGGTATTACTGTACCAGTTATTCCTGGGATCTTACCAATTCAGGTTTTCGTTGACAGTTCTATTTTTCGTTTTTGTTTGATGTTTTTAGCAGTAAAATATTTGTACTTAAGAAAAAGAAAAATGTAAATAAATGGACGATTTTAATTTGCATCTACAGAGTTATGAGAGTATTCGTCGTATCGCAGAATTATCACAGTTAATCATACCTGATTCTATCCTTGTTAGTTTGAAACCGATCAAAAATGATGATGATGCCGTACGTAATTTTGGCATCCGACATGCTGTTGATTTGTGCCAAACACTTTTTACCAATGGTAGCACAACATCTATACATCTCTTTACATTAAACCAAGAAGTTTCTTCAAGGTAATTTATTTTATATTTTAGAGCTGTTATCTTCCTTTAAAATAGATCTTAAGAACTGCGACTTGCTCAACAAAATTTGGTAATGGAAGTAGCTTCTTTATGCCTTTACCACCTTTATTTATGCTTGGAATCACAGACTATGTGATATTCACTTTCCATTTTTCTAACTCCAAATTCTTTTCTTGTTATTTCTATTCTTATTCCACTTTGTTTTTAGTTTGTGATAATGTGGTAATCAGAATTTTTGTTATATGCAGACATTTAACTTTTCAAGGGAAATTTTACAACAGTTAGGGCTTTGGCCACGTTCGCCGGTTCGGACCCTGCCTTTGCGTTTGTTTGGTGAAAATCATCCTATGCGTTGCAAAGAAAATGTGCGACTTATTTTTTGGTCATTACGACCGAAATCACATGTTTTCAGAACCCGTGTAAGTTTTTCATTGCTACTAATATATTGCATTCAGTAAAAACTCTTACACCTATCTCTTTCTGTGTCGATAATTCCACGTTGTGAATGTAGTGAATTCTACTGCTTAATCATTCTTTTCGAGTACTTTTATTTGCATATAATTAATTTAGTTTCATTTATACATATAAATTTACTTTTTGTTTTTCTTACATTTGTGACTAGTGGATAGTATTGGTAAGAAGAGATGACTTCCCGAATAGTCGTTGGGGTGACAGTAGTTCGCTAGTGTTCAGCGATCTTAAAGATTACTATTTATTCTATTTGAAAGGACAGTCAATTCAGGATGAACAACTTCGAATGTATGGTGAACGTTTAGAAATCCTTGCTGATATACAAAAAAGTATTTGTCAGTTTTGTCGTACAAAATATCAATGAAAATGGTGTAAAAATAAGCTAAAATTTTCTTACTACCATTGTCATTGTTTATTTATTCTTTCGTGTTTAATCTGAAATGAAAAACGAGAAAAAATTATTACTGTTTACCGGCACAAAGACGGTTTAATTCTAACTAAACATTTTGTTGTAATCGTATAGCTTTTAGGTAAATCAACTGCCTGGGAGTGAGCAACATGACAGTATACGGGTTGAAACATCACTTATAAAGGATCAGTTTTTGTGGTGCAATTCAAATGAATTTCTAGCAATCAGTCAATAGCCAGCATCTGTTAATGGAGCCCTTAGTACAGATCCATTTGTTGGCTGGAGAAAACCAAGTGGCTATTGTTATCAGAAGGTTATTCCTTATTTGTTTTTGTAAATTTTGTACACTATCATCGTTGGGTACCGATATTTTTTGAATGAGTTGTTGAGATCGATTGGAATTGAATCATGTTGCTATTTTATTTGGATTTCTATATTTTTCATTTTTCTGGTCTGTTTGCTTTCGTTTTTAATCTATACTTCGGGTTTATCTTGAATTCTTCACATCACAAGTAAATGCCGAATTTCTGTGAAACTTTCTGCCATCCTATTCGCGTCTTAATTGTCATATTGTCAATCACGATGTAAGCTTTTCGTTTCTACAAGCTCATGTCAGGTGCTTCTAAAAGTCAAAAAATTCAGTAAATTTTTGCAGGCAATAATTGGCCAGACAAATACTGAAAGCGTTATGCCGACTGCTGTTACTTTGGGTGTATTTCCAGGTTCTGAAATTGTGCAGCCAATGATGGTTGATCCTCCTTCATTTCGTGTTCGGAAAGATGAGGCTTTTGACGCTTGTTTAAATTGGTACATTTACTTTTTCCCTTGTTTAAAGAATGTTTTTTCTTCTCAGATTTATATTTTATCGATAAAATGCCTATTAATTTAGATCATCAATATGCGCCGAAGGGACATCGAGCGTCGCTTACTGGAAAAAATTTATAATAAGTATTGTCTAGTGACAATGATTATCTAGCCAACTATTGTCTTTGATAGTGTGCTTGTTAACCGTTATCAGATTTCCAAATTTGTTTCAGAGAGAATGAGAGATGAATTTTAGGTTTGTAGTGATCTTGTAATGCAGATCAATCAGCGATGTGATTGCGGAGTTATTTCATTGCTTTTTCGTTTTTCTCATATTGATTCTGCAAATCGGCTCGTTGATTTAGAACTGGTGATGCGCTCAATTTTGAATGATATAACACATTTCTATTGTTATTATTATTCCTGGGATATTATGCAGCACTAGGTTGGCGCAAAAAGTATTTACTTTTTTGAATTTTGCTGTTTCATAATTTAATAATCCTTAAATTATTTTATTGCTTAGTTATTGTTTTATGTTCTTCATCAATAACTTGTTTTTTTTATTCAGCGTGTATATTTATTGTCGACTGAATAAATACTGAATGAACCAATGAATTTTCGCTTTCCAAATGGTTAAAAGATTTAGACATTTGGTTATAAGTTGATAAATAATTTGTTAATTCAGGATTAAACTGCTACACTTATAGACCGATTATCGAATACTGAACTTCGGAGATTATTTGTTGTAAGACTGGAGAATACAGCCTAACATAAACATCTAGAATTATTATTTAAGAATTGATAGGTTGATGCAAAGGCAAGTGCGTATTATTGAATGTTTTAAATTGGAATACATTTTATTGTTTCAAACGATTAATTGAATACTGTTTGTCTTTTTGTTAGATGAAGAAATGATGTCAGAGAAGAAGCGAATGCGAGTAGTATTATTTTATGCTTTCAACTTGCTTGTCAAGTAGTGAGGGCAGCTTATTAAAATATATTTGATCCAAAATTGCCATAGACATGCAGTTCTGTGGTGACTCAAGAAATTTGCAAAGGAGGCAAGAGTTTTAAAGTTGAACGTAGTGACCAATCAATGGAAGTAACAATGACCAATTGAAAAAACTGATTGGGAAATTAGTTCCGATAAATGATCTTTACTGGCGAAAAAAAGTAAAAAACAGTCCTTTAAGATAAGCAGTAATCAATAAATCATTTGAAATGATATTACATACTTATTTGAAAATGTATTCCAATATGAAGTAGTAATAAACCGACCAGCAATGCAAAAGACACAATTACTTTTGCACCAGCGTAATACATATACACAGGAGTGATAAGGCCCAAAATAAATAGGCATTTTATCATCCAAAAGCCGAATGCTACTGACAGTTTTAAAACAGCGTGCAGATTTGCAGATGCGATGTGAGAAAAAGAAAAAAAGAAGGAAATCTCTAAATGATGTCCATCTGTGGTAAAGGATTAGTGAAAACTTAAAAATTATCGCTAATTCTTTCTGTGGCTTACTAACTGTCAAAAAGTTGAATCAAACAGTGGAATATAATTATTGATTCGGAAAACAAAATCAATAAACAAAAATGATAAGTTGCCGAGAATTAGCCATTTCACGGTCACTCGGCACTTCCAGCAACTTGAAGTGCTGGAAAAGCTTATTAAAAGTGCCTGTCTCATTACTTGAAAATCATTACTTTCAAATGTCATTTTCTCTATTCTACGTAAGTACAACGAACCATTTCCCGACCGAACTGTGATATGCATCGAAATTGGATCGTAGACTGTCTGAATGGTTGGACGACGAAGGTGCTCTAAAACACTGATCAAAGCTAAATTCGCACTACCGGTATGTCCCAGATATTATTGCGAAACTTCCGGCTCGTCAATTACAACAGATTTAAATCGATCAACCGATCGATTTCCCTGCATTTTACTATGTGACATGGCATTATCAGAATAATTTTTTCACCGAGTTTTTTATTAATACTTGACAGATGTGCAGTCGGAAATTCATGTTGTTGATGAAATTTATTGGCAAAGGGAGTACAACACACTCAGCGAGCGCACCTCAGGTGAATTGCACATTTGCGCCAATAGCGTGGTATAGCAGTTAGTTGGCCTTAAAAAACGTTTCTTGTTTCCCGTATAATTTTCAGGATGAACCGGTCCGTTGTCTGATCTGCGCTACTTGACTGCTGATTTCGTTAATAAAATTCTTGAACGCATTTGGGTCTCGTAAGCATTTCTGCTGTTTATCCTGAACAAAATTTGTTTTTTTTTTTGCAAAATCGTAATAAGAATATAAGATAAGATTAATTAACATATCGGGTTAGCACCTATTTTTGATCAAACCTAATTGTTAGCAATGACTATAATTATCTAAGTATCGCGAAAGTTGTTGCTTACTTGTAGGTGATACTTGCATACATCAATCCACAGACGAGCACATCCAAGCTTCTTGTCTTTGCCGTCCGAGAATGAGAAGGTTAACCAGTATTCATTCTAAATAGTATTTTTTTAATTAATGGTCATCAAGGTTTATTAGTTACAACAAATTAAATCCACTTTAAATGTGGAACGATTATAGGTACTGTTTAAATAAAAAATAATTCCATTCCTCGCTGTTAATATGCATTTATATCTATGCTATTGGATACTAATATTTGTCATTTTGGAAATATTTTTAAAAATTTTGAATATTTCAAAGCAGCACCGATTGCAGTGGTCCGAAGAAACTTTTGGGTAAATCTTCAGTTGTGAACACTTTGCTAAATGTCATCGTCCAATGTCCTTTCGGCGGAGGGCACAATTTGTTTTGTCGGATAAATTCGTGCGCCTTTCGATCAGTTACATATTTGTCCGCTGCTTTCACCGTTTCACTACATTTGTCGAGCATATCGCAATAACGACTGTAAATTACAATTCGAATACGCCATACTGTTCATGCTGCACGATTTTCCAATTTAAAGAGTGGTTGAATTTATCGATAAAATCAGTTTCTATTATTAATTCCTACCACACCATCAGTTTGATCGAATACAACCAATCAAATAGCCAGGACAATAAACATACCAGGAACCGACTCCATCACAACCATCGATGATGTTCCAACCTTGGCATGGAATCACCTGCCAACCCTTTGATCCTTGTTTATTCGTTACTGCATGCCTTACCTCAATAGATTTTAAGAAAGTACATTTATTCGTATCTTCAATCAACATTTAAGAGACCTTAAACATATTGTTATCATTGAAGGAACTCTGTTTCAAGCAGTCAGTAAAATTGGGAATGCAGTAGGCCAAGACTTGCGTCATAAACTACGAGCGATACCTCGACATCCATCTCGATTTTGTCCTGCGGCAACTCCTCGCTCACATCCATTGTAACATTGAAAAATATGGGCCCTGGGAAACGCGGGTAATCCGGCCATACGACGATGTTTGAAACATTCACCACATAGTTCGTCCACTGAAATTTAAGTTTGTTAGAATCCCGTATTATTCATTTATCAATGAATACATTTCCTCTCAAACGGGTTTTAAGAAACTGTAATTATTTTGCCAGCAAGTTGACCCAGCAGACTCCACTCCAACCTCTGATCGCATAGGAAACAAAGTTACTACTCAGGCTGTCTATAACTAAATGTCCAATACCTGGAGTATTCCTAGAAAACTATAAATAAAATGACAATTTCAATAATTGTTGTAAGTTAGGATGTCAGCAAACAATATTCTAACCTGTTCGCTTGCACATCGACTGAATTGCCACCCACGAATGACAACACCGTGTGGCCCCGTTGTATACTTCTCCCAAAACGGTACATGCCCAGGAAAAGTTTCCTCCCAAGCGCGTGATAATGCTGACTGAGTTAATATTTTAACATACAGCATTGCTAGTATGAAATGCGTGAGGAAACACCTCAACATCTGCAAAGTGTACGATAGAAATTTCATTTCAACATTAAATTCTACTTATAAATGAATAATAGCGGTGGTGATATCGAGTATATGATACTAAAAGCCTTATGACAGGATTGGCATTACAATGATTAGCATGGCACCGATTCTACTGAAACTATATTTTTAGCCTGAAACTCTCACTAGAAGCTTAAGCCACAATATTATTTTACTAATATATCTAATTGTGATTCCTTTGCTTGAAAGCTTTTCATATCGACCTGAAATCCTTGCTACAAAATTCAAACCACAATGTAATAGTTCCTTCTTTCGATATACTGCTGATAATAATAAGCATAGCAATATGCTGATCAACTAATTCATTTCTAGCATCTTCTCCTCCTTTTATCTTTTCATTTTTCTCATTTTACTGAAAAAACTATCACTTGTAATTCGGATGATAGCTGGTGAATCCCAAACATCTAGTAGGGAATGATAACATTGAACATTGAAAAGAATGATAACAAAGCTTTTAATTTAGAAGAATTAAAAAGGGAAGTACAGGAATGGCCGAAATATTGGACAAAACGGCTGTAGTATATTTGTATCGACCAAATGATAGCAATTAATTGCTTATCTTGCTATTCAATTATCGACAAAGACAAAGTGATTGTAATATCGCGTCACAAAAACTGAGAGAAAAATAGATCTTGGAGAAAAAAGCTTCAGAATCCATCGGAATTCTGCTAGTAAATTGGGACTAGCAAAAAAGAGGAAAAACTTGAAATGCATAACCGGAAATCGGCATTCCAACCAGCATAACCAGCAAAAAAAAATCATTTATATATCTCACACGCTGCATCAAATTACCAGATTTTATGCAGAGTTGCAGTGATCAGAAGGAAACTTTTCATTTCTTTTGGCTTCTCCAGCCTCTAATAAGTAGGATTAACATGTGTAGAAGGAAGGAAAGCTAAAAGGGTTAACTTTTAGAAGTTCTAACAATGATAATAATAACAGAACCAAAACAAACATTAGAAATTAGCGCTGATGAGGAATTAAAAGTGTATCAGTGAGTGCTATCAATTGTTGCTCAATCAGATTTTAACCAGCCAATTATATCGTCTGTTTCTCGATTGAATGTAAAAAAAATTTTAAATCACTGTCGTTTGAAAACGATTCAGAAATGTGGTCCAGAAATCAATAGTTGTTATGAAGATTAAGAAACAATGAGAAATGTTGATGATGGTGATCACCGGACATCGCCATCATCAACCATCACAGAAACGACATCAACCGGTAAATGTTTGACGAGGATAAAAGAAAGCATATGGTGAAGAGCGATCGCTGTCGTGTCGCGGGGAGATGGGAATGGGGGAGGGGGACAATGAACCACGTCGTAGTCTTGAGGAGTCACTTCGAACATCATCCATCGACCACTTCCATTCAAAATTATACTATTGTTATTGGTGAAGAGTTTAATTCGATGTGTTTCTCGGCGGACACTGAAAAGATGTGTGATAGGAAGAAAGGGAGATTTGCTTTCCAAGAACTAAAATGAAATTAGCAATTTGAATTTAATCAGAGGTGAGGAGAGGCGGAACAGACTAACATCTAATGCTTAGAATATAGAAAATTGGTGAAGAGCGAACCGCAGAACAAAGAAGGAAAAACTGCTTCGATAAGTTGACAGCCACAATCACAACAAAGTGCTCGATGGAGGTGGTATGGTACGACGATACGGTATGATATGGTATGGTATGATATGAAGTGATGTTACTGATATGAGGGAAAGGTGTCTGGAGCGACTCCTTATTTCGTCTTCTCTGTCCATCCCTTAATTAGTTACACTGGAATAATAAAACCCGATCCCATTCCGGGCATTGGGGAAACCACTGTCAACGACTATAGCGCAAAATGCGTCTTTAATTTAATGCCCTCGAGAAAATTTATTAATTGTAATGACGACATTAATGGTGTAGCAAAGAAGGAGAGAAGAGGGATGAGAGAAGAAGAAAAAATGTTGGACGTCATGAAAAACCTGATTTAGGCAATATCCCGAAGGGAAGACGTTGTCGGATGGTTCGGCCTATTCACTTCTCCCTCCCTCCATTGTCTCCGTCTCGTCCAATAAAACGATCTCACCAAATCCGGTTCACTTCATCGACCAATATACCACCGCTATAAAATGATACTACCTGATCCACCTACTCATTAAATTTACTTCCTTCTCTTTCCGATATTTCACAATAGCAGCAACTCCTCCAACGACACGAGTTTTCGTTTTCACAAGTTCATACCCATAAATTCTGTTAAATTTTGCGGATCACTTCTGACCAGTTTTCAAATCATGCATGGACTGACTTTTCGAAATAATTCTTGCAAAGATAACAGAAAAGATCACTTGAACTGTTGCAAACATTTTAAATAAAAAAGAAACATTTCATCCAACATACCACCTCACCCTTCAATCAAGCATTATCAACATACTCGACAATTTACAATTATTTCGATTTTAGAAGTTCAGATATAATACAAAATACTCATTCGCTGTTCACAAACAGTATTTTGACAGTTACTATCGGGTTTCTGAACAGCAATGCATGGCCATACCGGGAGTAAGACTCCACTCAACCGAACGATGAATAGCGTGACACTTAAACTGTCCATTGATTACTGCTCCATGTTTAAAGCAAAAGTCAACGCCTTAAATCTTGCCTTTTCGAATGTCACCATATTGCAATAAGCTGTCCATCTATGCAAGCCTGCTTCTGCTTGATTTCTTTGCTCATCAGCAAAATCACTCTTCCCAATTTAACCCGAATGCACGAGTCATCATCGGCACGGCGAAAAAGCATTTATAATGCATCTTTGACATAAGGAGCGACAAATGAGGGTGCAACATTTATGTTGAATACGCAAATAATAGAATATTTTCATGGTAAAAAAGGAACACGAGAAGAAAGCAAGGAAATGCAAGACAGGCAACCTTGAATACATTTCTCATGAGGTATGTAAAATCCAGCAAAAGTAGAGATTCCGCATCCAACAGAGAAGAGTCACAATAAAAGATGGAAAAATTGGTTATGGGTGAAAGTTAAGGCGAAGAGATGGTCAGATCATATCCGCAACTGGTATTATCATCATCACTGACATCACTACTCACAGACACCATCCTGCTTCAAAATACCATCCTTTCTTCTCCTCATTCCCTTCTACGATCTTTCAACTCTGCGCATCACATAAAACTTCTCGAGAGGAAGCAAACACAAACTGGCAACGTGTTAGATCCGCACCAGTGGTATATCATGGTAGAATATACGCCCGCAGGGCGTGTTCTGGAATAGCCCCTTCCTTGTTCGCCTCTTCTAAAACGCAAAAAAGGAAAAAACTCGATGACAGTCTGCATCTTCGTGAATTTGTTACATGTTACCGTTCATGTTTCTCTTTCTTCCAAACCAGGAACGACTAATGAAAAAGAAATGTTGAAAGTTATATAGTTTTCTTATATAATCTGTTCCGAAATTGAACTTCTCGACGAATTTATTCATCTAGAAAGGCTTTGCACAAGATAACAATTACACTGCGCAAAGATAGCTCTACAACAGAAAAATCTAACGTGTAAACATAAACAAATCATTACTTCCTTATTTCGCTTGCATTAGGAATTCTCACTAATTAAGACTTAAAAAGTTTACTGTGTACATTTCTAAACCTGTACTAAATAATTCCGCATTTGATCAGTAATTTCAGAAGGTGAGATGAATAATTAGAAATGAATTTTTTATTGATGTAAGAAACTAAGTACAAGAATGGATATACCTAAATTTATCGTAGGTTGTATACTTCAATTAATCACTATATGCCAATTTGTCATATTTTTCCAGTGCCGCCAAATCTTTCGAATACTTCGGCGTAGACAATTCCCCTTCTTTGTTCCGGTGCCATGCATATCCAAAACCCGGAGTTGGTGACTCGAGACCAAAATTTTTTCGTAAACCTGCTTCTACTTTTGTTGCTGCCTCACAACTAAATTATGAGAACGGTTTATAAAAACCGACTATACATAACATTAAATTCAGCCAGAAATGTACGGTCATGCGATCCAGTAAAACTATACTGAGAACACATCCATTCTGAGTGTAGCATAGGCCTCCTACACCCGTAATATGATGCTCAATATATCTGTTATCAGATAGACATTAAAAGAAGAGACTCTTCGAAATCAACAATCTATGAGAAATTTTTCACAAGAGAGTCGTTTCAAGCAAGCATGTCACCTTATTATTTCGCCACTGAGGCTTTTGAAAACAGGCCCATGTGAATCTGCGGTATATATACATTTCGGGGGTTGAACACTACGTCGAGCATCTCTGTCCAAATAATAATTATCGGATAACTTGTGATGTACACCACCAGGTAACGATACAGATGGACGACTTCGCGCTGCTTGTGTATTCGGGTAACGATTCATTTCATAAAATTTGCTCTGCAACAGGGAGAATATTTGACTGTAAAGAAACATGTTGATGATTTCACGCAACAATCCTAGACAGAGATAACACAATAATTAATTAGTTTATCTCTAGATAGTGCACATGAGCCACACTCGGATAGCAGTGATTTCTGGCTACAGGAATTTTATTACACATGAAACTTTCCTTCATTCTTCATTCGCTTCACTTTTCTGCATTATAGTGACAACCGAGAATTGATAATTATTCGACAGTAACAAATCGCTCAGATAAGCAAGAAGTTAACCAACCTCACCATCAGATGTTGGTAAGCCAGGTGGTGGCGTAGCTGGATCTCGATATATTGCATTTAGCTTATCACGTAACCATACCATCAGTGGCGTTTGTGTGCGATTGACCACTGTTTTCGGTGCAATTTTTGGCAATTTACTAATCATTCTCCACCTAAAATGTGCTATTTCTTCTCCCACCTGCTAAACATTTATCTTGCCAGAGACTGCTTTCAGTCATACCGCAATAGCCAAGGTCCTTCCCTTTTCAGCAATTCTTGATTCCAGGGATTCCAGTAGTTCCATAATCAAACGTGAACGAAACCTCTTCTAGTAACCGATGCAAATGAAGTCAGAAACTGTCTCTTTGCAACAGTTTCCTGATCCTCACCGGTAAGTCTGACACGGTCCGAATTACGCGGTACACTCACAAGGATAGTGCTTTCCCACCTCAGTGGAAGCAACATCGCTCTCGACACAAACAGAGTCCCCGGGAATTATCGAGTGCATGTAACTAATGCATTTTGAGTTGTTCACTTTTTGCTGAATCTTAATGAAACAGTTAAGTCCCAGAACCTTTTGCTTTAATCGTTATCATTATCAGTTGTACTTTAGTTATTCTTCCTAGCAAAATTAACTCATCTTTTTGCATCGCACTGTGTACACATCACTTCCTATTTCTCTCATCCTTCTCAGGCGCTTTTATTATTTGTTTTTTAGCAGCATTTGGGAACTAATCCAGAGTTCCTTTCAAGCAGTCTTTGTTTCCTTAAAGTACTACATATGTTCTGCGGATATGAATTATTGCTTTCATCGTCAAAATATGGATTTGGAAAGTGAAGTGATAATCATGTTAAAGTGTGAAATGTTGCCATTCGTTACATTTCTTAAATTAATCATTGAATTTCCCATGTCAGTCAACAAAGGGCCTAATACATCCATCCCAACTTAGAAATGAGGCAGCCTCAGTTATGTGGTATTACTCACTATGATAGTCGCAAAATGAGCGTTCCTTTCCTTGATGTGTTGCGAAAGTCGATATCGTTAATATTGCTTTTCCTTATTTCTTTATTTTGTACACCGCGGATCTTTCAGAAATCTTTCAACTATCAGGGATTTTTAATTATGTAATAATAAATAAATAGCATGGAAAAACAGGGCTGATTCGTACTTGAATCTGAAATGCTTACGTTAGAAAACAGTAATTATTTCTCTACCGTTGTGGCTTAAAACTAAGAGGACAACTTGTTTTCTCCAGCACCGAATTTATTCCACTTTGACTTGCAAAATCTATTTTTAAAACTTAGGAACGCATGATGTTCACGAGAATATGTTTAGGTAGTTTTTTTTCATCAAAATTTTACGCATTCCACTATTTCCTTGGCTTTATTTGATGATTACTTTTAATGAAGTTTGGCGGTTCTCTTCAAAGCTTACTATCCTAACTTTGAATACCTCAGCTGTTCTCCTATATCAAATCTGCTTCATTCTGTTTTCCCGTTTATTAAGTGAACTGCAGCATGTCGTTTATTTTCAAGTTTTAATTGATTTAATATTTAAGCGAAACGAAGTTCTACTTTACTTTTCTTACGCAGCCAGTTGCTGGCTTGAATGGCTTGGTACATCGAAGAACAGGAAAAGGTCTACTTGGATTACAATGCAACTACACCGATCGATAAAGATGTTGAGCGGTCTATAATGAATGCATTCCAAATTTGGGGTAATCCAAGCAGTAATAATGAACTCGGTAAATCTTTGGCTGCCTGGTCAAGCATGCATTATAAGAAGGAAAAAAGGGAAAAGAATTTTCGCTTTTCAATTTTTTTTGAAAATTCCTTGTACTTCGCTGATCATCTTTTGATTTTTGAAAAATTATGAAGGGAAAAAAGCGAAGGATGTAATTGAGGAAGCGCGAGAAAACATCGCCAGACTGTTGTATGTTTCTGCAAAAGAAATATTTTTCACATCAGGTGGAACTGAGGTCAGAATTTCGTATTTCGCTTTTATAATGATGTTGAATTTGCGGCGAATATTGTATTTCTCTAACACATTATTTGTTTAGACCAATAGCTGGGTGATATATAACTGTATTGAACATCGGAAAACACTCTGGGGACGAGACTACAAACCACACATTATGGCCTCCATCATTGAACATCCATCGGTTCTGGAACCCCTGCGTGACCTGAAAAAGAAACAAGAAATCGGTAAGTTTGTATTTTGTGACAGAATTCGCTTCAGTTTTAAAAACTTAGTTGGTGAAAATTTGCTACCTAGTTATATTAAACTCATTTCGGGAATAATTTCGTGCTCTATAATCATGTATGAAATATTTCATAGTTTTCTACCCATCTCAAAGATGAATGTATTGGATTACCGACATCATATTCTGATGACATCTTTCATCAGACCTGACTGAAATCGATATTGACATGGTAACTGGTCGAGTACAATTAGATGGTCTGGAAGAAGCATTTTGTGACCGAACTTGTTTGGTGTCAGTGATGACGGCGAACAACGAAACGGGTGTTATACAACCTGTTGCTGCGGTTGCTGAAATTGCCAGGTTGTTCTTCGATCCTTAAAATAATCAATGATCGAATGGCGAATAAGTGAACTGGATGTCGTAAAACTGTTTCAATCAATTTCCATGGTTCTGCTGAGTATTATAGTAATAAAAAAAGATTTCTCGCATATCTGCTCAGTTTGTTATGCGCTAGGTCATATAATCTGATGCTTTCAGAAAATGTGAAAACAAATTTAAAAGTCGAATATTTGTGCACAGTGATGCATCCCAAGCTATTGGTAAGGTTGATGTCAATATAAACGCATTGAATGTCGATTTTGTAACTGTTACGGGGCATAAATTTTATGGTCCACGAATTGGAGCGTTGGTAATAAAAGCTGAAAGCAAAGTACCTCTGGAGGCAATGTTTCTTGGCGGTGGTCAAGAACGAAGCAAGCGGGCGGGGTACGTCACTCCAAGTTTTGATGCGAAATTAGGGATTTTTACTTTGACTACTTATCAAAATACCATTAACATTTATCAAAAAGATATATTCTAGTATTAGGGATCATGGAATAGAATGCAATGACTTGAATGATGATTAGAAACATTTAGCATTTTTTTCTTTTGCAGCACAGAAAATACACCAATGATCGTCGGTTTAGGAAAGGCAGCACAAGTGGCATTGCGTGGTCTTGAAGAATATTCAGGACATATGCAGAAAATAAGAGATTACTTCGAAGAACAACTCAAAGTAAGTCCCTGGACACAATTCCTATGACTAAATAATCCGATATTTCTTCGGGGATCGACATTATTCGAAGTCGGGAAAGGATTCTCGACTTCACTCATTCAATATTAGCACTCCACAATTTCCAGGAAGCGCTTAATGATACGATTGTGATTAATTTCGAAACATCAGAACGTCTGCCAAATACCAGCAGTGTGGCATTTGTGAAATACTCAGGGGATGCTTCCGAACTGCTCTCTAACTGTAAATCATTTATTGCTAGCACCGGAGCTGCTTGTCATGCAGCCACTCAACGGTTAGTTTACTTTCTACTGATGACATTTTGAGTTCTCTTAAATATCTTGGATTTCATTCCGGTTTTTTGGAAAGAGAACCACTACCACATTGCCTTAAGTCTAAAATTATAGAGTAAATCACCTGCAGTGGTTCTGAGTGACATTAGGAAATATAGTCAAACTAGGTTTTAAAGGAAACTGTGACACAGCGAAACATGAAAGATCATCTCAACTTAACACTGTTTGATTGGTTCTGTATGTTCTGTCTGTGACTTACCCTGTAAAATAAGTCTTATATGGAGTGGAGGGCGTATTACCCTGCAGGTGGTCCGCATATTAATTTTTTCCACGTAACTCCATTTACATTGCAGATGTTCTCAAGTACTAACGGCATGTGGGATTCGTGAGGAGTTTGCACTTCGGACAGTAAGATTTAGTTTCGGCAGAAATTCAACATGCGATGAAGTGGATCGAGTGGTGAATGAACTAAAGGCGATCATGTTTATGGATAGATATGGCAGTTCGCTGTTAAATGTCATCAACAAAGGACCCATATCGGATTTTTGATTCGATATGACTTAGTCTCATTGATTTTGTGGAACTTTTATAAAATACACAATAATCCATGATTCTTATTAGTTCATTGCTATAATGATTATGTATTACTCATTGTTCCGTAACCAAAACTAATCTTTGATATTGCTTATAGTTCGCTCTGTTATTTTTTAAAGCTATAAAATTAACTTTGAATCGACACTTTTATGAAAATTAGCTTCAAGTAGTTTCAGATAGATTACTCTGTTATGAATCAAAAGCAAGACTCGCCGTGACGCTCTGAACAGTCGAGATCTAATATCTATGGCTGTTTTGCCCAAAAAATCTCTTGCTTATCAGTTTACAAATTATCAGCTTACTTACTGATGAATTTTTTCAGTACTTTTCCATCACTTCGTTTTATTCCATATCTATTTACAATTACATGTTATCGAAATAGGATTCGTAGGTGTAGGTCAATTTCAGTTTCCAAGTTTTAATTTTTAATTTTCCACCAATCAAATTCCCTAGGATTTTGTGTCGATATGTTTTAAATTCCAATAGTCGGTGGATCCGTGCATGAAGATAAATGCCTTTTATTTGCAGTTGTCGAATTTTATTAGGTAAATAAACTGGTAGAATAAGAATAATTGCTGTCCGCTTTGAAATTCATTAGACCAGGTTTATATGCTTCTGATAGTACAGTTAGTTTCTTAATCCTATTATCACTATGAATCTCGTGGAAATAATCTGACTTATTCTTCTGTTTTTTTTTCTCTGTAAAACTCCAGAAAAATCGTATGTTTTGATGTTGATAAAGAAGGAGTGAAAGATCATGCAGCTTTTATCTCATAAGAAAATAGCCTTATTAAGAAGGATCTGCGTGACCAAAACGTGACCAAAAAGTGGTAGTAAAAAATGTGGTCCTCAAAATGGAAACTGTAATCTCGTTTATCAAAACAGATACGAATTTACTTGTGTGATTTAAAAGCGGGTCATTTCCTAAAATTCCAATGAAATCAAGATCAGAGTCGATATATTTTCTCACGATTTTATGGTCGATGCGCAATATATTCCGATCAAACAGGTGAAGAATCGAAGTGTTGAGCTGTAATCAGTTGAGTAAAGTAACATGAGGAGCCATATATAAAGTCCCTAATTCCAAATTACGAACTCTCGAGGCCGGCGTATATCACGCTCGAAAATGAGAATCAGAAAAATTAACAAATCTGATCCGGTTGGACTCAGTGCCAATAATGTTCGATGGCCTTATTCAGACCATACTGAAAGCCTCGGAGATGGGGTGAAAATTATTTTTTTGCATATCCAGCTTGGGTTCTCCTGCTTGACAGATAATTCAGGGAATAAAAAATTTACAATGGACAGAACGGAATAATATAAAAACTGTACAGCGCATGTCGGACGCAACATGTGCGGATAGTGCACCGGAACTGCCGCTGGTAAGAAGATTGGAAATATTGCGTGCTGTTGACAGTTTGGAATCCGATGCAGGAGAATATGAGTGACTGGAAAGAAATTGTCAGTCCTCACAGTAACTATGCTCACGAGAAAATTAGTAGTTTCTGAAAATCCTTGTGAATTCAATGTCTACAAATAACTAACTCATCGATCAATCTATCTATCTCACATTCACAGATGTATAAAGTAGAGATAGCTAACATGTCTGGAAGTGCTTTAATTTCCTGAATTTCTTCTTCGGTACGTATACCGCGCCCAATTACATATTGTGAGTCGACGATATCCGGCAAATTTTTGATATCACTCTGCTGTAATTGTTTAATTTACCAGAGATCTGGGTGATGAATTGAACCAATGAAGCATAGAATACCGATCAAATCCTTTACTTCTTCATCGGACAGTTCATATCGATTAATAATGGGCGATCTTCTCGGCTCCTGGTCAGTAATGGATGGGATCCCACGCAATTCTTCATATTCCTCACGAGTGAACGCTTTCTTACCAATCACTTGGTCTTCACGAACAAATTCCGGATATGCATTGATGTCCTAGAAATAGGCCTATTCAAACAGTTCCTCTCCTGTACTTATACAAAACAAAGCAAAAAACGCTCAGTATTATTCAGTTCATTGTAAATAATAATTTCACAAACCTCAATTTCAGAAGTGGTGTAACGAGCATAAGGTAGTGCTGTGACTGTTCCTGGAAATGCGGGATCAGGCAAGCAGAATAAAACTAATGGAATTCAAAAAGAACCTGACTATTGGTGTTGACAGCTTGGTCGGATCGCTGGATCTGCTCAGAGATTAGAACGACAAAAATAACATACCTGTAGCAGCGACGCGAACATTTCCAACGAGATCTTCGTTGGCTAACCATCCTGAAACGGTTCACATTTTTATTGTTCATTCCATGAAAAGAACTATTCTTGAAATTGAACCCATTTTCCCTCGACATAATTAAGAATTAAAAGTTTCAACTTCATTCTACGTCAAGATTGATCTGGGGGATAAATATCAAAAAACAGAGACAGCCGATCACTTTGTAACACGAAATTTTTTTTCTAAAGCATATCAGTAAGGGAACAGTTAGATACCAAGACTAGAATCGAACTAAATCAATTTTCATTTCCTATCAGGTGCTACGGAAGAATAAGGAAAAAAGGAGACTAAGACTTCTGCTTTCATGAATGAACTTTCGGGGAAAATGGATCTGGGATGGCTTTTATATCTGGCAAACCTTCCGTTCTATACGGGCCACTTCTGGGAGCTTCGGATGAATTTTTTTCTGAAAGCACTCTTTTTATCAACATTTCCTTTTTAGCAACTAATTTACTCTGATTTTAATTTAGTACCGAAAACCTAACAAAATTGAACCAACAGTGCATACTACAAATCGGGCGAGTTAGTTTTTGATTTCAATAGTCCAAAATTGCTATTTATGTTGACATACCGTTATTGTGTGTGGAGAACTGACTTTTTATGTCACGAATATCAGCAAGACTTTGTTCTCCAAATGCATAGCGGTTCACAGTTTGCAAATCACCTGAAACAAAAAAAAACTTTGCTTTGAAACAAATTTTAAAAACCACTAAACTATTGATCGAAATTTCAAACTAAATAATTGAAAGAAAAGAAGAGAAGAGCAAAACATACTTTCTTGCGATAACTCTCGATTATGCCAATAATTCTTCACACTTCGAATACCTCCAAAATCTGTAACTCGTGCATATACCGAATTCTGCAGGATCAAAAGAAGGATTCTGATTGCTAATGGAATTGCACAGATCCGATGAATGGTCAGTTTTCATATCGGGAAATTGTAATTTAAAAAAGCAATACCACATAATTTGTCCTTCGTTTGTCTGATCTGTTCCGTCAGATTATAGACAAACCGACTACCGCCCAGATAGTGATTCATATTTGGTGTAAAATATCCTGGATATGAATAGGTGTTACGTTTCTAGTGGAGTTGGTGTTTTTTTAAGAAGCATAAAATGTGCATCCTTTAAATTAAATTCTAAGTACTTTTGCCATGGAATTGTTTCGGTATGTGTGCAATATCTGTAACACTCTCAACACCATGCAAATTTCGGTTGATAGTTTCCGTGGACGGTGATGATGAGTTTCTTGCTGAAGCATGGTTGGATATGATTAAGATGCAGCTGCACATAGTGTTCTAATATACATTTAAAACCGTGATCCGGAATATCTGTCAAGTTTTCTGTTCTTCACAGACGTACAGCTGGGGGGTTCAACAGTTATCAACTGTTTATCAAGCAGTGCTGAAATTCTCCGATGTTGTGTCAATAAGATAATGGTGTCAACAACCTGTTCCACCAGATATTTGCTGATATTCAATAGTTCCCGGACGATTTGAAAATAGTGTTGGTTGTTGATCAATTTTGGCGATATTTTCGGGATCAAAAGCACATGCACTAATCGTTTCACATGATCTTCTGGTGGCTACAAAATATTTTTGTTTTTCAAACTGCGAAGTTTGATCTCTGCAAATACTGCGGTCTGAAAGCATTGGAGCAATAAAAATAATAATGTTTGATTGATGATTTTCTTGCTTACAGTTGTGCGAAAATGGATTTTGTATCTGTTGAATTTCGGCAAGACTGTCGCTGCTAAAAGCATTTCGTCCAATTGTCCGGTCCTCCTCACTCACTGCTGTTATCATATCTGTAGTATCAGTAACAAATATTTTTACTAGAGTGAAACTAGCAGCCAAAAATTAGCCAAAAACTAGATAACTAGGAAACAGATATTATTGCTTATCCAGTCATATAATTGTGATCACTTCTTCAAGTGAACTTCATCAAGGCACTTGATTTATTATATTAAAGCATTCCTCGCTTTAATTGCTATCGCTTAGACATAGCAATCTTCTATTGCTATTTCTCGGAGAGAACTGATTTGGTAACCAACTGATATTTCCAAGACCATGTAATCCAAGAGAATGGCATTCAGTTGTTTTGTCAGTTTTTTCATCGAATGTTCCTGCAGCCGCTAATCGGGGAGGAGTATCCAAAGGATTTTCTGAAAATTAACGTCATTTACTATCTAAAGGCCTTAATTCTAAATGCGATTCTCAAGAGAAACTGCGAATTTGTTAACAGGGACTGATCGAAGAATCATTCAACCAACTTCTTCTCTTCCAAAATGCTTTCTAGACGATTCACTTTTGTAGTTGTTATAGGCCTCAGTCTATTCGAATAATATAAAATTGTGTCACCAAGAAGATTTTCAATGTTATTCTTGGACACTCCCTTAATTAAAATTAAACATCAATTCAGTAAGTTCGAGGAGTTAGTCATACATGACTGGAAAGAAAGTAGTTAGCCCCTAATCTCTCAAAGTATAACTAAGAGTGCTGCTGACATATTCCGAAGACGCTCTTCACTAAATTAGCTATTGGTAGCTTAAAGGTTTTATCTTCCTTTTATCAAATATTTACTCTAATATGTATTGGAAAAAGAGGAAATAGCAGTAAGAGGCGATTTTTTTAATGTCACATCCAAACATTAACAAAGTTGTAAAAATGATTTAAAACTTTTATTTTCCCAGCTAATGTTAAATTTTTTTAGCTTTCTGATCATTGAATTGTGATGGCAGAATGCAAATGTTTCTCTGACTTTCTAATACCTAAATAGACTAAATCACCGATGGTGTGGAAGGACCGAGAGGTTCTACCTATAGTCCTTCCATCGGGGTCTTTCTTTTTTATTACTGAAGATCTAGAAGCTTTTTCTATTTCATGGTTTAATTTCAAATATTTTCATGGGATATCACAGTTCTACAAACTTAATGCTTGACAGTCATATGTGAAGTAATCCAATGCATAAAGGACTGCAAGTATAATTGAACAGCTAGGAATGAATCTTTTTCAAATTTAATTTCATATTAGAACACTATTCAGAATGGCGAATTCTATACCTACCAGTGTTATTAAAATGCTGGAAAAACTTTTGTCCTTGTGAGATCCTGAAAGAGAAAACAAATATCACAAGGTAATGCAGGAATATTACTTAAAAAATAGGTCACTGATCGATTTCCTTATGCAAATGACTCTAAGAATGCATTCTTTTAACAGTCATCAGATTTATTAGATAAATTACCGGTACTTTCCTGAGAAATTAGCAATTTTCTCAGACTCTTTGAATATGAAAACTCGGGCATTAGTGAACTCTTGGCTACCACCACTTGTTGGCTGATAAATCTAAAAATTGCATCGTATCTTGGCGATACTAAAGATTGCGAGGTGAAATCATTTTGATTTTGATGAAATAATTATATTTTGAGTTACTTAGAGTTACTTAGAAACGACAAGTTTAACATTTCTTTTCATCAAAATTTTATCCAACTACAAACTGTTACATAATAAAGTTTGTTGAATCGAATTTTGAATTCGAAATGTTAGACTCCTTCGTTTTTTGTTGCTCCAAAAATAACTTTTAATCAACCTTAATTGAATCCTCGAAACTTGGCAGTTTGTCGATTTCAGCAATATACGAAGTGTTCACTTCAGCATCCATTTTCCCAGTTTCCGCATTTCTATATTCTGATTCCGTTTCACTCACACTGAACACTAACTGCACTTACGCACGTTTTAAACAGTAATTGTTTCTTTATGAAAAAGTAGAATCCAAAAGTTGCATTTGAAAATTTTGGAAATTTTGGAATTGAAACAATGTTGAAATTAAGTAAATATCACTCTGCGGAAAAATTCGGTACAATAACACTGCCGCTTTTTCTTGAGTTACTGCTGATAACAATGCGTTTATTACAAATATATATATGGATGGATTCCAGAAGATTTTGCGGAAGTTCTCGATAGAGGCGTTGAAGGTGCTGTACCAGCACTATCAGTTGGTCAGGTTTCAGCATCTCCATATGGAGCGATCCAAGCACAACATCAAGGAATCGTGAATGTGCTGAGTTTTTCAACCTGTTAAATCGAGACTTCAAGATGGTTCGGTTCAGTAAAAGCTTCATTTCTCCTATCGTTAGTAAATGTTCAATCCAGATATTAAGAATCCTTTAAAGATTCAAAAAACGAACCATTGCAGAGCAAAATTGATCGTGTCAATTTTCTCTTTCGACTTGATATTTGGAGAAGCAACTAATGCTGTGATGGCATTTAAAGTTAATTTTTGAATATCAGTATTTGAGAGAGAGTGCATTGTCACGACGAATTTTTTACAAATCATTTCTTGTACCATAAAGGAAACCTGAAATTGTACCTTTCCTTCTAATGAGTCTGCCAAAAAATTTTCAATCTTCTGAACTCTTTCCTTCCTTTGCAAAACAGAGAATAATGTTTTGCAGAGGAAAGAAAGGCAAAAGACAGAGATTAGCAGGTACTATCTGATGCATTTGCAATTTGCAAACAATCTACAATATCATTATGGAAAAGGGCTAACCGAGCATTCCGGATCGGTAGCTATATTAATACAGCAGATGATACGGTCATTCTGAGCAGCTAATGCTTGCAACCTACTTTCCATATTTTGTTGCAATTTTTCAACACCAAGACTGCTAACAACCTTTAGATGCTCACCATATTCTTCCGCTGTCACTTGAATCTGAAACACAAGATGGTTTCAATCAGTTGGAGAAAGTTTGATAATAGCTTAATGAATCATTTAAAGTCATTCACTGATTTCTCCCATTTTCTCTTTACTTTTTATTTTTCTAAATGTACCTGAAGCTTTCGAATTTACTTAGAAAGTACAAACTCAAAATCATTATTTGTAATTGAAACTGGATTTTCAAAACGATCAAAATTTAGTTTGGACTGTAGGAATGTTGGAAAATTTGTAAACGAAAAGTCTGTAAAGAAAGAGAGCTTTCAAAACTATTTTGATAATGAATAAATGGAAAAGAATACCCACCTGACCGGTATACATCCAATCAATGACTGCTGAAACGACTTTATATGGACGGTTCAGCAGTGAAATCAGAAGCGGTGTCTGATGGCATTTCAGCATCTGGAATACATAAAACGGCAGGAATGTATTGGAGATGAACCATTTACTGAGAAGTGTTGTAACTTATATTATTAACTGTTGTTACAGAATCAAGACTTTAGGTAAACCGTATTAGTAATAGTACAAATCTAAAAGTTAATTGCCCTATTCATACCCTACGAATGCAATTAGAATATATAGCACCGATGGTGCTGTGCAAGAAATCGGTCTGCATTTGAGCACAAATAATTGTAACATCAGCAGTAATTAGATCTCGTTTGACACGTAGTTCACGTAGATATTGGCCAATGCTATTGCAATGCCGTCGAAAATCATGCCCTTTCAAGTGGACCATCCTGAAATGATCAATAAAGATGTTGGCGTTCATTGGTCCCGACACTATTTGAAGAAATTATTACTCCTGATCAGTCGTATTTATTTATCATTTCCCTTTCTGTATCTCTTCCAATTTCCCTTTTGTCTCCTGTCTCCTTGTTGCAAAAAATTCACTTTCATTTGATGTGAAGAACTTATTCAATCTTTTAAAATGTGAATCAATCGATAAATCTTCATCATTTATTGTACACAAATATGATCGTTGAAATTTCGAGACTCAAAAGCTTGGCGAATTTGAAAAGTATTACTTTTCATGAAGAGTGGATTTCATTATTCGTGCCACAATTTTCCCCAGAATCAGTAAAGAAGACAGAACTCGACCTCTCACCACTGTCAATAGAATAACAATAGACTGTTGCACTCTCAACAATTTATTTCTTTCAAATTGAACGCCATCGACAACCGCAGAACCGAAATTAGCATATGATCATTTCTATTGGAAATGCTTGATGAAGAAAGTTGACAGTAAGTTGGTTCTCTTGCAGTGGAGAATAGGAAAGTAGACAGAAACTCCACTTATGCAAATATGAGGGAGAGTGATGGCAGTTTCAATAGCGCTGGCACAAGCGGGTATGTCTTTTTTGCTGTCAGCGCACACAGTCCAAACTTCAAAACTTGCTTCTTTTATTTTTCATTTTAGTTAAAATTGAACCCGTCGAAATATGTCCTTCCTGTCTTCTCCCACAAGTAAGATTCTACAGTCGCAAAGCTGTCGCATTACTATTGAGCCCAGCAAATCAATCAATACTGCTATTTTAACTATTTGTGTGAAGATTGTTGCGACGGAGTTCATCATTAAGTATGTAAAAAAGAATTCGTCACTTTGTGCAATGTTCTGCGAGTTTCGAAGACCACTGGACTGCTAAAGAATTGTTCCCATCGAAAGGTAGCACTTCACTTTCCTTTCCAAAAATACAACTTCTGCAAAGTGCATTTTCCCATTACCTGGCGAACCATGCACACACATCACAGTCATCGTCCCTTCCTACCAACCGAGTGCGGTTAGCGGTTAACTAACTTTCTTTGCATTTGCTTAATTTGAAGCGATAAATAACTCTTTAACTGCACCTATGATCATTCTGTTTTCCTTTTCGAAAATTTGAAATTCGAGTTTTGAAAGTGTGTTCCATTGACATTTTGGAAGATTTTGCAGGGTAAGTGGCAAAGATTAACAACGTCATCAACCGAGGAAACAGCTCTTCTGGAACCGATTCTCTCCTCACAATCTTTTTTTGCAAAATCAGTTTCAGCTTTGATTTCCTTCAGAAATGCCATCTAAAGAAATATGCGCGGACGGAAAGATAACTGGGTGGCATAGCTGCTATTTATCAACAAACACATCTCATGGTTAATCAAATTAATTTCTTTTCAAATTGGAAGCATATACTTCGAAAATATTTCCGGAAAGTAAACGGATCCTTTTTTTATCCTTATTTAATTTCGAATTGTTCTTACTGTTAGCAGCAAAGACGTTTAGTTGACCTGATTTTAAACTTTCCCTTATTAGGTCGGGTTTTTTTAAAGTGACATGAACTGATGTCCAAAGGAAAATTTTTTGAAGATTGTAGTATTTACAATAAGGAACACAATGGGAAAAACGCATATGGTAATTTTTGACTTTGTTCATATTGTTCATCTTTTTAATATGAGACTTGTAATTAAACTTATTTCATTATTTTTTGATTATTAGACTGAAAAAGTAGACCAAGAGTAGAGAATAAATGAAAGGACAAGTAAATGAATCGGAAACGTCGCCTCAACAATATTCAGAAAAATTCAAACAATTCTTCACTGGAAGAGATATCTCCTCGCTTATGCATAATGCAGATTTCAATTCTTTCTAGTACTGTTTCCTATTTTCATTAGTTCCTATCATATTTCATTTTAAAATTCCCGAAGATTATTAAAATTATAGAAACATCACGGAATATATCATCTTCGTCAAGTTTCTAAATGATTTCGAACAAACTATTATCCTTTGTAGAAATTGAAAGGTTGATGGTCGATATTAGCTTAATACAAATTGTAGAGCAATTTCCGAGAAATTTTCATGACAATTTATTTTTGGATTTGTTTACCAAAGATTTCAAATATCCCTGACATTTTGTCTTCATTCTTGCTTGCTACATTTACAGGTGTTCAAATCATCACCTACATTAAATGTTTGTCCAATTCAGTCTTGAACCAGTCCTCGTTGCTACTATTCTTATTCTGTCTATTAAATAGCTCATATTAGCACATTTTAGAAAAGCCTTCGGATGAATTCTGTCATAAAAATAGTAGCAATGAGTAATAAGTAGTTTGTCTTACTGTTTATTAAGTAGTGCCACATTTGGAATGAAAAAATCGCTGAAAGTATAATAAATTTACGTCAAATTTTACAACTCAAATTTTTTGTAGCAATCTTCTGCTTGTGGTCATTTAAGCCTGCGCAGGATCTCTCTCTTCATGATGAATGCTATTCTTCAATTTTAAATTTGATTTGAAATGAGCATTTGTAATCCGTATACTGACAAACAATCAGTTATCAATTTGGAACTATCATTACTTGCTAGAGGTTACTGTAGTGGTTCATAAAGTGTGGTGTCACTAAGATTGGAAAAGATTTTACAAGTAATTGTCCTGTGAAGGCTTAGCAAGATTAAAATGAGTTAGAACTAAAACAAATAGCACAAATCAATTCGCGAAATGATACTAAAAGAAAATTTCATAATTGAATTAAATTTTTGGTAGGTGGCAGTGACGATTGGTTTGACACAGAGCAAATCATATGTCGAATTGTGTTTGTTGCTATGACGAGAAAAATCAAAATATGGAATGTTGACAAATTTCGTTGCAGTGACCCATCTCTTTTGAATGATTTCACCATATCCTTTCAACTCGTATTATTCATCAGTTTCAATCAAATTTCAATTTATTATTTCTGCAAACCTTAAATGAACCACGATCACTTCAGCAATTTCAATTATACCACACTACTACAAAAAAGGAAAAATATGCAGTGAGTTGTTATCAACGATATGCAATAATCAATCAATCATCAATATTATCAGTGATAGCTCAGACAGTATTAAACAGTCGGAGTACTGTGTTAGGTGGCACAACGAGGAAAATATCTTCCTCGTCTTGCTCTTCCACTTTCCACCCGAAACTACCGGAGAACCCGCACTTTCTCCTATTCAAATTGTTCTTCGAGTATTCATTCCATTTTCTTACTTCTTGAAAAGAAGCCAGAATTGACGATAAGAAGGGGAGAGTGTGTTAGTACTTTTTTGTGTTCTTTGAGGAGAAAATAAGCGAAAAGAAATCATCTGAGCATTTGTCAAATGGAATGAGAATTTAGTTGCTCTTTCACTCTCTTTGTGAGTATTCTTCAATTTATCAACGATTATCAGTTATAGCAAATTTGCATGATGTTAAAGTAAACCAAGGCAGAGATAATTGTCTGCAAAGCTTTGCAGTACTAAACAATGCAGAGACTGTAGTATTTTAATTCTCTGAAAGAATATTTTAAATAATTGAATGTCGCTGATACGTAATAATTTCGATCCTTCACGGATCTGTCACGCATGAATGTACTCATGACCATCTCCCAAGTTTAATTCAAATTTAATTAGAATCTTCAATCAAGCATGAACGTTTTCATAACTGTGAAAACAAGTTTTGAAAAACTTGCAAACGCTAAGTTTTTTGGTAATGTTTATTTTCAATTTGCAAGAATGCATGCGATATTGACTTGTTTAGTGTTTCCTTCTGCCATTGCTTTTTCTACTCACAGTTCATTTATTTCCCTTTGGTATTTTTTTGTAATTTTAAGACTCTCTTGCCTTCAGATAGAGTGATGCCATTCTCTCCATCTTTCCTTTCTTCTAATACCACTGTTACGGCCATCAATCGATCCTTTTATTCTTCAGTTCTTTATTTTTACATCACTTATATAATTTAGAATATCATCTTGAGCATTCCTTTACATTCCTTATCGATACCAAGTGCTGCATTATTCACACTGTCACTATCGACTATTCTATTCCAGGGTCAGGAATTCTAGAGATAAGGACGGCCCTGCAAGTCAGTAATATTATCATCCAATTATTTTCATCTGTCAAGATAAACCTGAAATGTGTCTGTCGTAATTTTTCATAATTTCCTTTTTGCTTTCTGTAATGCACAGGATTTCATTTTTTAATCTGTAAAATACTTGATAGAAATTCAAGTTCTGATATGATCTTAGTAATGCATTTTATTGGGAAATCGAATTTTCTTTCGACCGAAGTCTGAAATGGGTAAATTCAGGAGAAATGAATGCTAATATATTTCCCACTGCTGCAAGGCATTTCTACCTATTTACATATTGTACTAGGAAATATGCTTAGCTTCAGAATTTGATTTGAATACCCGGATTTATTGCAGGATACGAAGAGCATCCATGTGTACAAGAAGTGACATTCACTAGAAATCATTCCAAAATGACATTGTGCAATTGTTTTTGTCTTGTATCTTTCGGTTTTTGTGACATTGTTACAATAGTAGTGAATGACACAATAAGATATGTTTCTAGGGAATACCGGGAACAGAGAGTATGACTGCTGGCGTTTCTAAAGATGTAAGACACGAAATTCGGACTACTTTCAATCAAAATTTCGCTCATATACTGCGCAGATTCTGCTCTTCAAGCAGTGTGAAATTGGAAAATGGTAATTCAATGGAAGACAAGGTCAGATTCAGAAAGAAAAAACGATTACTTTGCAACACTTGTGAGTTTTCGAATACTGTCTTTTTTTCCATTTCCGTCTGCCCTTTTCTCCACTCAGCAGTTGCTCGTTTCCCTGTATTTCACTTCAAACCTTGAGGGTTTTCGTAAATTCAAAATTCACTACTATTTAAAGTTAAATCTGGTTAGCACAGCAAACTTCGTTTCCAACTTCGAATAAAGAGAGTCCCACATATTTGACCATTCTTAACTGTTTCAAAATGTTAATCAATAGGGATTTCAAACAGGAATCACTTTTCGAAAATGGTGTAACAAGTGCTATCCATAAATATGACGATTCAAATGACGATACATTCACTTATCATCCCTTATTATCCATTATCAGATACTTCCATTCAATACTCTCTCTTTCTCTCTCTCATTGCTCTCTTTATTTGCAGTCTTTTCATCCTGAAAAATAAAACATCTGCAAACGAAAATGTTCAGATTTTTCGCACTTTTAATTTTTTAATAAGCTGATTTGGCAGCCACTTACAATGTTATTTAGTTTATGGAAAAAGTCTGATAATGTAAATGTAGCTTAATGTACCTTATGGATTGAGAAGGATTGTATGAAAAGAGAGAAAACGAAATTCCGGATGTCATTTTCCCGGGAGAAAAAATGCTAGATTTTATCGAGGAGCTGAAAATGATTGAATATTGACATTCAATCCTTACTGCTCAGATTCGGTGTCTTTTGATAAATGGAGCAAACGTTAATTGCTTCAAAGTAATCAAAGTGTCCGGTCCGGATTTCAGAAGCAAGCAAAAATTCTTTTTTTCAGATCAACCGCATCGAGCCGTCGGTATGCTACTTGTGGATTGGATATTTCTGGCGGGTTTAGGTGTTGCTATGGCTGTGCTTTCGTTAATTCTCGATTATGGAGTCGATAAGCTTCAGACATGTATATTTCCGTTGTTACAATTGTTGTCTTTTTGGGTTTATTTTTAACATTTAATTAGTTAATTAATGAAGAGAAGAAGGAAATCTTGCGCCATCCCACTCCGGTAGGCCTCACTGGCTTACTCAAAATCAAAAAAAGTACGCTCTCAGAAAAAAGTATGCTTCAATTGCAGATCATGTGGTAGTAATGGAAAATTTTAATATTACCAAATATGAGACAACTAACACGTTGATGCCTTATGCAGCGTGGCTAATTTATACAATGGTGCTTCTAATGCTCGCCACAGCTATCGTACATTACCTATCTATCAACGCTATGGGTTTATTTTAATTTAAATGCCTTGAAAATCTTGAGGTTACTTCTTCGTTTGATTGTGGAAGAAAAAAATGTATACAAAAGACGGCCAATTTAGGGTCTGGAATACCAGAAGTGAAAACAATACTGCAGGGTGTACGTCTCGAAAAACATTTAACATTTCGTACTTTGATATCCAAACTGATCGGTTTAATGCTTGCAATTGGAAGTGGTTTTCCGATTGGCAAAGAGGTACTGAATCTCAAATCAGATTTCCACCTGAAATAAATTCTAGCTTCAGTTCGTGTTTGCCAGGTTGCCCTATGATCAGTCTCCCTATTTCTAAAAGATTTATTCAGTCGATCCACTTTATAGGGACCATTTGTGCACATGGGTTCCATAGTAGCACATCTAATGAGACGTTTGGTAGAAGGAATCAAGCCTGCTTACGCGAACGAGTCCAGAAGTTACGAGCTACTTGCTGCAGGCTGCGCTGCAGGTGTCGCGGCAACCTTTTCTGCGCCTGTTGGAGGTGACCTTTCTATTAATTGTCAAATTAAATAATGAAGCGTCAAATTTATATTCGAATTCGAACTTCTCTCGTTAATGCTAAGAAAAAGGACCACAGAAAGAATTATTTTGTTATTTTGCTTTTTGTTCATCTCGTGAGGAGGATTTGAAAGATTTGCAGAGCTGAGAGTGACAATTGCTTGACTACCTGTAAGTATGGATAAGTACCAATGATATATGCTAATGAGACTACTGCCAGTGATATATACAAATGAGATCAGTACCACGATACGTACTAATCCATCTGTATCTCTGAAAGCCTTTCATGAATTGCAATAATGGGATGTGAATTTATTTGATAACATGTGCATGTCGCGTTGCCGCAAAACGGAATCAGAAAAAGGACTTTCGATTGACAACTCATCAAACCTTTTTCGACTTTAATGAATGAACTGTACTTATTGCATCTCTTAACGAGTGAGTGCCATCTTTATTACAAAACACCGTTGATATTTGGTTGTTAAGGAGTACTATTTTCGATTGAAGTAACAACTGCATATTTTGCGGTTCGCGATTATTGGCGTGGATTCTTCGCAGCTGCATGCGGTGCAGCAACATTTTCTCTTCTGCGACTGTGGATCAATCCATTTGAAGGTTTCTTTTTCTGAACCTTACTTTTCCAAGTTGATTGGAAGTAGTTCGATTACACTAAAAGATGACAAAAGATATTTTAGTGACAGTGGCAGCACTTTTCCAAACAAAATTCAGACATCTGTCATATTACCCTGAAGAACTGCTCATTTTCGCATGCATCGGGTAACTTCTCTTTTTTCCATTTTTGAAATTGACAATTGTGAGACTTGAATGAAATAGAAACATATTGCAGTGGTATATGTGGCTTGGCTGGTGCGCTGTTTATCTTTATCCATCGTCGATATGTGCTGTTCCTTCGAAGGAATAACTTCATGAAGCGACTATTTCAAAGACAGTACGTTAATTAAGATCTCTGAGTTTATCGCAGAGCCAAATTGGATGAAATAGAAGGATTCATTTTTGGTTTTTTTTTGTTCAAAAGAGCGCTATATCTAGCTAGGTGAAATTCACATTTTAGCTGGATAGTTTATCCGCTCACAATTTCCATCCTTTATTCGACCATAACGTATCCGCATGGTTTGGGACAGTACTTCACTGGACAGGTAGATAACTTTAACTTTATCGCTGCTTCATTGGATCAGCAATTAGGTGGAAAATGGCCGCACTGAATATGAAGTAATTCGGATTTTGTTTTGCAATATGCTGCTAGTCCTACCCAATTGCTTTATTAAATTCCAGATTGCATTTGCACGATCATTGCGTGATTTTTTTGCTAACTGCACGTGGCACGTAAATCCGTCACACGTAGAGGCGTGTAGTGAATTTTTAGTAATGCGTTGGAAAATATATGATTCCGTGTTCATTGAGCTCGGAGTTTTCATCGCTGGTTTCGTAAGTTAGCTAATTCATGACCATATTGACCCTGGATATGCACAGTGAAGGTGGAGGTTATTAATAACAGAGGGTCGAAATTTACAGTATTTTTTGGTAATCGTTGCGAGCACATTGCCAGTGCCAACAGGTATTTTCATGCCGGCATTCGTTATCGGTGCAGCAATAGGTCGTTTCATTGGTGAACTGATGGCACTTGGCTACCCAAACGGACTCCGTAACGACCAGCAACTGCTGATTCTGCCTGGCATCTACTCAGTCGTTGGTATCTTTCTTACCTTTTAAAGGAATTCCACGATCCTTTCTCCTAATCATCGTTATCATTCACACAGGAGCGGTGTCATTTTGTGGAGCAGTAACACATACCGTTTCTGTTTCTGTGATCGCTTTTGAATTAACTGGTCAACTGCTGCATATACTTCCTGTTATGGTATTTTTATTCTCACTACCGTATCCTTCCTGTACACCAGCAATATTACATTGTTTGTTTGTGGCCATTTATTCAACTTCATTTGTTTCACTTGCAGATATCAGTATTGCTATCAAATATTGTTTGTTCATCACTTCAACCTTCATTCTTCGATAGTATCATCAAAATCAAACATTTGCCGTACTTTCCAGATATCCCGAAATCGACATCATGGTATACTCACTCATTCTGCACTAAATTTACTTTTTCGAAAAGATACCTTCATAGAATTGTGCAATGAAATGGTTTTACAGGGTGCACGAAATACGTGTAGAACAAATCATGGTAAAAAATGTGAAATTCTTGACGAAACAGAGTACTTATTACGAGCTTCAAGAGTTGCTTATCACCACACATAAGTTAATGGCATATCCATTGGTCGATAATCCATGTACAGTTTTCCTTGAAAATGAAAAGTTTGATGTCTAGTAAATTAAACAATTTTAAATGTAAGGGAATTAAATTTAGCGTCTATGATATTATTGGGGTCAGTAAGTCGAGAAAATCTGCTTTGTTTGTTGAATCAGATCGTTGGAGATGAAGCGCGACGTGCGGAGTATTTGCGAAGAATGCAGTTGCAGAACGAATTTCACGAGACCATGGAAGATGGGGCCTGTAAGGATGGATCTCTTGTTAAGTAATGCCTTTCAATTTCTTATGTTGATATTTGCTTCCAATCTTTTTCTATTTTTTTATACTTCCTAACTTCCTCACTTCTTATTCCCACTCTATTGGAGATAGAAAAATGAAGTGCATCGTGATTTAATTCAACAAATTAATTAATGCACAAATCCTCGACTAGATTTTCTATAATCTCGTCTATCTTCAATATATCACCCTCAGGAAGAATGAGGAAAAAGCTTATTAATGATTTTCAGGTCATTTGAAGACTTTATTATATTCAATTTGTGAGTGAATGAGCAAAAAATTTTTGAAATTAACTGAAATCTCGAATCAATTGAGATCTCTTTTCTGGCAATGGAACACCGATATTCCTTTCTTTGTTTAAAGCATTCCTCAACCCACAATATTGTTTCATATTCTTTCCTGTCTTTTGCATTTAAATTCACCTTGCAAGAATAATTCTGAGATCTCTTAAACGTGCTATGAAGAGTATAATGTGGTCGGAATGGATAATTGAGTTATTATCCCCTGAGCTTTACTTATGCATACCACGGTTCCAACTTTACATACTAACATTTAGCAAAGTGTGGAATTTGAGGCTAAATAACATTTTATGCTTTTAATTTTCTTACACAGAAGATATTCTATGTTATATTAAAGCTTAATTTCAAATGATGTATATTTCCTGTTTTTATTATTTGCTAAGGATGTATTTGGTTTTAAACAAAAACAAATTCTTTAATAGAAATCTCTCATTTTCAGCTTCTCCATCGCGTCGGTTTTTCCGAAAATCTCATTCCCGGAAGTCAGGAAATGTCCAAATTCGGAGGATATGCAACGATCGCGAACCGGATCATTAGAATTGGGTATCAATCGAGAACCGCAATTAAAGACATCAGTCAGCGAATACAATATGCGAGAATCTGAAAAGAGAGAAGAAAAACAAAATTTGAATCAAATGGATCAATTAAATTCGGGACACGATTTTCGTGAAACTCTTGGCAGTATGTTTTTGAAGTTTTCGAAATGTAAATCTCTTCCTTTCCATCACATCACATCCTGCCATTCACATTTGCATAAGTTATTTGAAAACTTTGTAAGAACCTATATTCTTTTAGGTATGTTTGAGAAAATTACACAAACATTTCGCACTCGAAAAAGAGAGGAGCCGGAGGATTTAAATAAGGAAGAAGTAATTATTTTCATCATTTTCCCAAACCATTTCAGATAACAATTAAGATTTCAAAAAAAGAATAGATTGTTTTGTTCCAAGAAAGAACAAATTAGCGCTAAAGGACTTAGAGTTAAACATTCGATTAGAAAGAAAGAGTTGAGACAAACGTGAAGCAGTTCCTTACAGCGCCAGATCTGGGAAAAACAACAACTCAGCAAGGAAATTAATTTTTCATATACGACCATCGATCCTGCACCTTTCCAGTTGGTGGAGGACACATCCTTATACAAAGTTCACTCAATTTTTTCACTACTTGGCATACGACGAGCTTATGTCACCAAATGTGGTGTTCTTGTAGGTGTGGTGGCTGCGAAAGAGGTCAGTGCATAAACTCAGTTGTTTGAAAGGAGGATGCCGCCTGGTTCATTGTTTGAAGTACCAAATCCCTCGAGGCAAAGCTAAATTCATTGACAAAAACTTATTTCTAGATAGCATCAGCAATTGAACGAATACAAGCAGGAACTCTGACCGCGGTCACAAAACGGCCAAAGGACGATGAATACGATCAAAAGGACACTACCGAGGCAACATTTGACTTACTGGAAAGCAGTGAAAGTGACACCGACAATGAAGATATCATTTTAGTCAGTGTTTGCATTTAACTGATATCGAAAGCGCAAGTGGCGAATGTCATCCTAATCTTTTTGACGTCCGAGATTTCTCCGTGTCAGCTGCTAATTCATTCTGAAACATCTTCAGTAATATCTTTTACAAGGGGATCAAATCCTTATTAAATCGTACTCATTTATAGCCAAGAATAGAATTTGACAAAACTACAAACAGTGAAATTCTGGAAGCAAAATTTGCAGCACTGCAAGCTTCAAGTTTGTTTTTCGTCTATTTCTCAAGAGCTTTCTGCCATAATTTTCAAACAAACTGATTTTTCTCTCAATTTTATGTGATTTATTATAGTTGGAGGAGGAATATCGAATGAAGATCGTCGCAAGAGCTATCCGCATTTTCCGGGAAAATCTTGTCGAAGTTTCCGAGCGCCAAGATATGAGAGAAAGAGTTGCGATATAATCCTGGAGAAACTATCAAGTGCGGATGAACAATTTGCAAAACAGAACTTTTGCCGTATGGTCGAAAAATTCCGAAGATTTCGAGATTCAATTTCTGAATCTGCACTACCGAAAACTTCTTCTCAAGAAAGCTTGGACTCAGGTGAATGTTTCTTCGATTTTATGGATAGTTGTGGTTTCACATTTTCTAATGTTGGTCATAATAATTTTCAGACAGTCGTACAAGTGATCATTTCATTAAATCATTCAACAAAAGCTTAGCCTTCGACATCCATCGAAAATCGCCTTATAACAATAAATCAAACGAAGCAGTTGGAACTTCTGTACCACAACTAAAGGTTGCTTCACCGTGGTTTAACCCGAATTCGACAGTTGCTCATGATTTGTTTATCAGAAATGACCCAGAATGTGAAATAGATGATTCAGTTACCATCGTCTCTGCCGTCATGGAATGTTTTCCGGAACAAAACTCGTCAATAAGCTTTGTGGAGTCGGATGCGAAATGCAGTAGCTCTGTTAAGAAGGATGAAGAAAAATGATCCGTACAGTGCTTGACGAGTCTTTCGATGAGGAAATAGAAGTGGTATAGTGAAAGAGTTTGATAAGTGAAACGGTTGATGAAGATATATCTGACCCCAACAACAACTTTCATTTCTACTAAATGATTATTTCGGCTGATTCAATGATACATTTCCATGAAGCGTAAAAACAGAAACGGAATGTAATAAGAAACCTGAAATCCAAGGCTCTTTGAGGTGTTTTTGCTTTTTGTTGACATTTTACTCTAAAATGCTTTTTTTTTATATTCTTGAAGCTGTCATAAATGACGTTTCTGTTGCAGGAAAGTAATGTTCATTGTTATTGTTTAGAGCCTAATACATTCCACATAATAACTTATACAAAGCTTATCATCTACCAAATTCAGCTTAGCATCTGATAACATTCAGAAATAATTGGGAAAGATTTCTTTGCAAAATTACCATCCACATTTGAATAAAAAAATTAAATAAAAGTTTGAAGAACGACAGACGCTGCTCAACAAATATCTCCAAGTGATTAAAAGTGAGCGGTTGTGTGAAAAACGTGATTATTTATGCAACAAAATGATGTACTGATGAATGGTTTGATGCATATGAAGAGAAATTGTTGATTACCGACTTCTGCGCTAAGTAGTAGAAAATTCACCAACATGTTTTATAGTAAGATAACTCTGAACAAGGATCTTGATAACTTGTTGCACCGATGTAATGCAACAGTTCTCGACGAACCTCACATTCGTTCGAAAGTAACCAAAGGTTTAAAAATTATTTAAATTTTTAAACCTTTGGTTGATCAGATTCGCTTAAATATGAAAAGAACACTGCAGATTCTTGTTGTGCTGTGATGCCTTGCGATATATCTCTTACCTGTCTCTACCATTAATTTTGATGAATTATCGAAGTTTATTGAATCACTTTCCAAGCTTCTTCTGAAACATTAATGAAATCATTGTAAATTTACCTATTAGGTATTCCGAGTTGTCTTGTCCTCTCCCTCATAATATTGTCATTTTTCTGCGAATGCCAGAAATGAGGAAGTTTGGATCATAACTTTTATCACCTATTCTACGCGAATTAAAATTGGTGAGCACATGTCGCAAAAGAAACTTTTCCAGGTCAGGAAGATATCATTTTTTCACCTCTCTCTTCTTGACCTTGTTCACTCTCATTCACTGTCTGCTTCTTTCTTAATTTCTCAAAATCTTTTATGTAATTTGTTCAGAAGGTAATGGAGATGAAGACAATGTAGGCTGAAAGTAAGGTGAAAGTTATTGCTTATGAGAGAAATACAGGAGAGATTAGGAGGTGAAGATTAGGAGCCACTGATCGTAATTATGGATACCTGACCTTGTCGGCTTTAATCCGCTACATTCGATAATGTAAGCTAAGCTAACAGCATTATTACGGCGACGACTTTGAATAAAGAATAGAAATTGTTTAAGGAAAATTTACTATGTTTTATTAAACTGTTTAGCTCAAGTCGGGAGTTCGTAACTTATTGATTTTAGCACTGTTGTTTGTATAAATAATTTTCAAACACTCAATACCGATCCGTGATTTATAAATGAGATATTCCAAAGGTGTTACAGTTTATTGCTTGATTAATAGTCACAGAAAGACCAAATTCTTGAATGTACTTCGAGGTGCTTAATTTTGATATAGCAAAGTTGAATAAGAGAAGTGTGTACAACATGTTTCTGTCTGTTAACAAATATTAGCATTAAAATATTTATAGTTTTCTTCCCTGAAAGATTTGTTGTTTCCTGCAAGTTTTAGTGAAAAAATGAACGAAAAGAAGAGAAAAGAAAGGTTCTTCCATTGTTGAAAAAAACCTTTCCACTGATAAGGAATTTCGTGATGCTGATTGCCAAGATGAAGATCATCATTACTTTTTGCTGCATTCAGCTCAGAAAAGCACATATTTCAAAAAAAGGAATTCGAAATATTGCTTATCAGTAAGGAGAACTAATTTGTTCGTATCTATTTGAAGTGCAAAAGTACTCGATGTCACCATTATCAGCGAAATATCATCGCTTCTAGAGACATTCGCACTTTAGGAACACAAAATGCATATGCCGTTGTACTACTGATAACATCACTTGTGTCTGCAAATCAAAGATAGGTAATCAAAAATTTCTAGAAAAGATATTATCATGTCTTTGATCCATCAATCGGGATAATAACTTACTTTATTTTTATTCTCTTAATGTCGTTATCGCCATCTTCAAAACATTCATTCATTGTGAAAGAATGAACAAATGGAGGGAAAATTTCGGACTTTGTTTGTCCATAACATTTTTGCGATAATAATGGCGGAAAGTGATATGATGATGTTACAATGAATACATCAGAGAAACTGATCAGTGAGAAAGAAAGCATTAAAGTGCAAAAGTGCATTTTTCGGTGATAATGCTACGGCTTCTCGATGGCGCATAATGATATTAGCTAGGACCGGCCCCTTCCTCTTTCCATGAGTTCATTTCTCGTCTGTATATTATCCCACAGTCTTCTTTCTCGACTCTATAAAACAAGAAGTAATTAGCCAGAACTCACCGGGCTGCTCACAATCATTCTTCTTCAAAATTACGTCCTCTACAAGATGTCATTTTCAAATTAAGCTCATTTTCCGCAATCCATATTTACATTTTCGTGAAATTTAGGTGTAAGATACCAATGAGTCATCTTAGTAAGGCGTCAAAAAAATACTGAAAAATCTGCAATTTTCATTGAGATATCACTAAAATAAAAATAAATTTCCTATAATTTACCAATTTTCGCAGAAAGACTCTCCAAAATAGTTGTTTTCGACGGTTGCAAAACCATTGTTTCGGAGTCGGAGAGAGATATTAGCTCAGAGTTGGGAGAAGAGTTGAAGTTTGGATAGTGCTACTTCCCCGCAAAATCATTTGTAATCAGGAGGGGAGATGTCGGATACGGCACGCCATTCAAATATTTGTCATCAATACTTCTTGTCCAGTCACGTTGTAAGAATAGCAGTGCTCCATTTAAGGAGGTCATAAAATCTTTGCTATGGAGGAGTTAATCGTTTTTACTTTCGCTCTTCCTTCCAGTGACGTCGTAAAAGGAGAAATTTATGATGAGCTAATAACGGAGTTTAAAATCTTTCCTCATGTATGAGCAACGATTCATATTTGTTTTCCTTTCAACCATCTCGTAACCTTTCTACTTCATACTCTTCTTGCTCGCTGTTCCTCAACTGTATGCTTCAAATAGTTGCGAAGATATGGTAACTTCCGGACAGCGGGTTTTAGATTTTCTGAAAGTCTAAAGCTTGATTACAGTCCAAGTGTAACTTGTAACTAGTTATACCTACAACAATGGCTTATGGTAACTAGTTAGTTACACGTTCAAGTTAGAGATAGCAGTGGCAGGTTTATTTCAACTTACAGGAGTAGTAGCAGAAAGTTGCTTTTCCTTCAGTAGCGAATATAAAAAGGCCATTTCAGGATGCTGCCACTGATATTAAGAGCTCCCGATCACTGCAATGCTTTAGTTCGCAGATTACATCAGTGCCGGCAAATGGGCGAACTTCTGGATTGCTGTATCCGCGTGGATACTGTAAGTGGTTGCACCAAGCATATCCTCGTGCATCAAATAATCATACACTGTTCCAGTAACATTTTGAAGGGACTATCGTGCGATGTGATCAAAAAGGTTGAGAATTGCTTCGTCGAGTTTTACTATTCATCGAAAGACTGAAAACAAATTACAAAATAGTAATTGGGAGAATTTTGTGCTTCACAAAAGAAAATATTCATCTTTTAAAAGGTCCCAACTTCATGCTATTGTTATGCAAAATTTTTCCAAGATCAATCTTCAAGTAGAAATCATGTTTAAAATTAGCATTTAATAGATATCGCGTAAAACATTGATGTAAAAAAGTTGAAATGCATAATGTGTTGATTTGTAGAATGGTTTGCAAGAGGTCAATTTAAATTTAAAATCCAACGATGAAGTGAATTGTTTAGAAGCTCTGATCAATTTCATGTACACTGGAACACTTGAAACAACCAACTGTGAACCGCATATTGTAAATCTTCCAAATCTCTTTAATTCCCTGTTCATTTTCAGGAATTGCAATCGCAATATTAGAATTACATGAGGTTTTTGAATAGGAATTACTAAAAAACTTGAATTATAACGGCATGTCAGATCGAATTAAATAAATTTCTGAAATTGTTTGTCCAACTTCTTCTTTACTGAATAGCGAATAGCCATATTTGTTTTCTTTATTTTTTGGGATAATGTTTACAATTGTCACTAAAATTAGAAGTATTTTTGATGGCCGCTTAATAATTCTGCAATTACAAAAAATTTTCAAATTTCATTAATATGTCAAATGCGATTCACAACTTTAATTACTGTCAAACTTTATTTTACACAGCTCAAGCGATTAGCTATGCTATACGAAATCCATGAAGTGCTTAATCTAATACAGTCGGTCAATCAGGATACGCTGTCACTAAAATATTCATCAGGTATTAGATTTGATTCACTTTCACTTATTGCACTCAATTTATAGTAAAGATATAGAAATAAAGGATTTCGATTCCAATTAAGATTCTCATCTTCATTATATTTTCTAACTAGTGAATTTGAGCGACGAGGAGAAAAAGAATTGGGAAGAACGTTCGCAGATGAAAATAGAGCAGAATGATGGGTAGTAGTAGTATCCATACAGTGCTGAAATTTATTGAAAGTTGAAAGTGGAAAATGATAAAACTAATTTTTGTAAGCCTAAAATTAAGATTTACATACACCGACAATTACTTCATCTGCAACGATGAAAGAATGGATAGATCATGTAATGCAAAATATGCGATCGGTACGAAATTTATGATATTTCAGCGCAGTCTCTTATCAGCAACAATGATTTACAGCAATTAAATCTTTCATAAAAAATTAATTGAACTTCCAAATTGAATTGGGCTACTGATAGACTACTGATACCGTTTCATCCCGTATGCTTTGCTATCCTTTATTTATGAGAAATACTTCTGCATCCTTTAAGCATCCTTTGCTTCTTCTCATCTTGTCGTTCGTTATCATCATATCGGTGCAAACTGTCGTCATTCTATTTCCATTCGATGCACGCCTTCCATTTCTTCTGTCACTTTCAACTTCAATATTATTTGTGCACTCATTCACTGATTCCTAAGCAAATCTTTTCAGGCATTCAGCAATATATTATTTCCGAACAGCGGTATAGTCTTTCATGCCTCCATGGGAAATGAGAGAAATCCAAGGAGAAGACAACATCCGGTAATTCACTGCTTATGAGATTGATGAGATGATAAGATCTGCAGATGGTTCATTTCCAAACACTGATTATTTTTAGCTTGATTCATCGCCGTGGTTACAAAGTTTTATCGACGAAGCAACAGTAACTTGCACCACTAAAGAGATGGAGTTGCAGCGTAAACCGATGATATTTACTACAAGTAATGATATAGGAGAGCACAAAAATGAAGTGATTGTACCCAGCAGTGACCGTGAAGGTACTTCTCATCCATTATATTGATTTCTGATAAGAGAAGAAGCCATCCCATTATGTTATCTTATTCCACAGTTTCAATTGTACATCGTGATCCAGCTAACATTGAAGGCTGGTGTCGGAATAAGAAATATATCGAGCGGGTTCCATCTGGATACATGTGTACCGTATGCCAAAAAGTATACGGTCGCTATAACTCAGTATCTTATCATGTAACGATTTATCACCGTAATCCACCAATACGATGCGATGAAGAAGGTTGCAAGTTTAGTACCCGTGAAGCGCGTTACATCCATTTCCATAAATTCTATCGACATCGCGTACCACTGCCTGAAAATATTGATTTAGGTAAATTTTCCAACTTACCTTTTCTCCCCCACATCTCCTTTTCGGCATGAAATAGTCAAAAGTATGTTTTATTTAGGTTCCCGTAAATGTGTCCTATGTAGGCACATATCGAAAAGCCCGGCTATGTTGGAGAAGCACATAAACCGCCATCTGCAGTACTGTACCAAAACTGGCCAAGACTATCAATGTCCACAGTGCGAGAAGCAAGCAAGTTCGCAGCAGGAAATGTTGGATCATATGGTAACACATGTGGAACAAGAAGAGCCAGGCTTCCAATGCGAGCATTGCAGATACCGGTCTGTCTTTCTTCCTCATTTTTCAAACAACCTTTCTCTCTCTCTCTCTCTCTCTTCCGCATTGTGGACAGGTGGAAATATATTTCAGAGGACAAACAGAACGATCACTCCGACAACACGTACTCTTCAAACATACTTCCGACATGTTCTCCAGAAAATTCACATGCAGCCAATGTGCTTATGCCTCCACCGATTCTATCAGTCTCGTCGCGCACTATGAAAAGATGCACGGAGCAGCAACGGCAAAACAGCCACTCGAAATTTCTAGAATTTAGTTTTCCCAATGTAAATTATCGAAACTCTTTGTCAGATAAACATTGTATCAGGGCGGTAAAGATGGCATCGTCAGATCTGAAGGCTTCCCACTATCACACCGATTTCATAAATATGGCGGAGGGAAGTGTGCAAGAGAAAAAATAAAATTTCCCTCGGCTATAAGATAAGCAATCTGCAAATATAACAACGATAAACATAATGAAGTGATCTAATGTAGAAGACTAAATCACTTTAGCCTGAAACATTGATCATCTCCTCCATCTTGACACTTCCACGCAAAGCTATACAAGTGAATTCGGAAAGACTGACTTTATTGAGTAAATATATTGATCAATGGAATTTTTGATTTGATAACTCCTTCCATATTCTTTGATACGGCGCTTAGTTCTAAACTATCTGCACTGATTCAAGATGAAGAGGGAGGAGGAATTATCAGCATTGAGACAAACATCTCTCACTATATCTGCATGAAGATGGTGAACTTTGGCTATAACTTAGTAACTAACTGTTCTGCGAACTCACATTTCCAATTTTAAAAACAAAATTCACTTTCGAGGTGACTCAGAGAGGAAAAGAGATCAGAAAAGAGTGAAGAGAGTAACATTCATACTTTATGCAAATATATGAAATGTGAAATGAAAGGGAAATTTGCATAGAAGAGCTGGATGAAGCTAAACAATTTTCGAAATGTCGTCTGAATGGAGCGGTTGCTTCCATGAAAACAAACTTGCTGAATGTATCGCTGATCTGTTCTATGAGCCACCTGACTATGATGAATTGTGCTTCTACTGCGTTGAAGGTACTAATCATTATCTTTTTCCACTCGTTCTTATCACTAACACAAAGGTTATCTTTGAGAATCAGCTGATAATAAAAAATTATAATGGATAAATAAGGTTGGAGGCAGTTGTTGTTGTTTCTCACCTTTTCCTAGCTTACTCAATACTGATTTTTATAGAAATTCACAAAATTGAATTTAGAAAATGAATTCATAAAAGTGGAAATGAAAAAGTGGTTGTTGAGATTCCTCGACCAGTAAGCAATATATTTCTCCTTTCATTTAAGGCCATTCCTCTTCTTTATTGGCCTAACTCATAGACAACTTACTACTTATTTCCTTATATACTCCTCTACAAATGCACTTTGACCAGTTGGAACTTTTGTAGACATTTGCTTTTGTATACGTTTATGCTAATAAGTTACATTGTACCGTATCAGTGATACAAACAATCCTCACATCACCTCACCGAACATTCATTTTAACTTCTTTGAAACAGGATCACATTGCTAATTGACGCATGTAAATGCATGCAACTGATGATGGAATAAATATGCAGGAACATGCTGCCCAAACCACGAAATCCCACAACCGCGGCACCAGAAAGAAGGAACTAATGCGGTATCGATAGATTACGTGTTAAATGAAATTTTCGGCTTGCAGAACGATTCTTGGCAATATGCAAATTACAAAATAGAAGTTAGCGAGGAGAAGAAAGCTGCAGCAAAGAATCAGCAGAAATTTGCTGAAAAGCGATCAGTCAGTAACGATCATATAACTGAACGGCATGTCCTCGTTACTTTTCCTTTGCTTCCTTCTGCAATACCGTTTTCACACTTGCTTGATGGCGAAGAAAGCCGATTTCCTAAGGATTTTTATGATGTTGCTCGGATGCATGCATACCTGAGTGCATAGGTACCGAAGTGTTCATTAATCTGTGCTCACGGACTCAAGATTTGAATTCATTAGAAGCTTAATGTTGATATGAGAGACTTCTCATCATTTCCCAGCCCGTACCATTCAGTAGCAGTTCCACAATAATGCCGTACCGATCATTTCTTTTCTACATTCTCAGGAATGCTTTCATCGGCAATTCTTTTTAGCAAAGAAAAAGATGCAAAATCGATGACGCCAGAATGTCACCCGAATCAGAATCTCGTGAACACGCTAAAGAACAATGCTGGTGTTGGGTCGAGAATAGTTTGTAAGGATGTTGAGGTAATAGTGAGTGAGTTTGTACAGAGGTAAGCACACAGTCATGCCCAGCATATTATCACCAATACCTTTTGCAGTAAACAGAACAGGCGTATTTTCAGGAAGTGTTCGTTGTCCCACAACCACGTAAGACACTGTCATCGGTAAGAAATGACCGCCAGAAATACCAGCGTTTTCGAAATAAGCAATACCTCTGCGACATATGTGACAGTGCTTTCACACTGAAACACAACATACAAACCCATTTGTTACTTTATCATCCAAATAATGAGACCTATATGAAGCGTAGACGTGGCAAACGGTATAGATGTTTGAAATGTAATGCGGTATGTGGTTTACAACGCTTTTCCAACTAGAGCAGCTGGCAAATTGGCTTTGAGTAAAGTAACCAATCAGATTTGTACTTCTCAAATTGCATATCTCATGCATGTCCAGTTCTTCATAAAGAAATGTAAATCGTCTTTACAAGTATTCGAGAAAATAAGAAGCGCCAGCTAAATTTTCGTAAGACGGGTCGATAAAATTTTCTATTTTTTGAATTTAAATTGGCTAGAATTGTGCATAATTAAAAGTTTACGGATGTTGTAGTTGTTCCGAACTTTCGCTGCCGTTCAGAAGCATCGAAAACGACAACACGGAGTGCGCATGCGACCGAAATGTGAAACATGTCAGAAAGAATTTCCAACCGCTTCGTTACTTCGTGAACATGTGGCTGTCATACATTTGTTGGTTTTTTTCTTATTGATCAGAGAGAATTTTCCCACAGACATCTTTTAAATATAATCGCTGCAGAAGTAGAGACCGGAAAATAGTCTAATCCCATTCATAACGACTTAGTCCATAACAATTCAAATACGTGTTTAGAAACTTGCGTCCATTTAAATGTACCAAATGCTCGGCGGTATTTGGTCGACAGGGATGCTTACGTCGGCACGATATGATGCGGCATTTAAATTACGTTTATTTATGCCCCTACAAACAGTGCACTCACGCCGGCTTTAAATGTTCTAAAGTAATACACAGGCTAAATTTCTCTTTTATTTCATCCCTCATTTGTAAGAACTTGATTGTGTTATGTTTTAAAAACGCAGTTACTCAAAAATGGATGTGATGAACTCCTTTCTCCTCAATTCGCCTTAACCATATTCATTGCAGGCACTAACAGCACATATTCGCTCCGTTCACACTCACGTTCGACCGTATGTCTTTTCCTCCTAAAAATTTTGAAAAGTTCGTCCTGCCCTTTTATCCAGTTAGATCGGTTTCCTTCTGGCCTCTCAATTCATCGTCATCTCTTCTCATAGCACAACTTAGCTTTCTCCATCACCAACTCATCATCTCTCCAGATTTCTCTCTCGACCTCTTCAACTTTTATATTACTTCATATGTGCATACCTTGCATGTGTTATGGTTCAGGTACAAATGTGAACAATGCGAAAAGCGCTTTGTACGCCGGAATGACTTACGAGTTCATTCGGATATCCATAACACAGAGTGCAAATACATTTGTCCAACTTGCAAACAAATGTTTCAACGCAGAATACATTTTCAAAAGCACGCCAGAAAATGTCATCCAACAGGAGAATCATGAATTTACGACATTACAATTAATTTTTAAAATTCAAGTATGTTAGGTACTTACACTCCTTCGCTGTAATGTCTTTTTGAATTTCACGGATAAAGTGTCACTTTTAAAATAATTTCTGTTTCAACGATGCCAATAGTGCATACCAATCTTATCGATTCTGATGACAGTTGCTTAACCAATCGTTTAATTCATTCACTGATTAAGGTCATTTGACGTGACTCATCACTGAGTATATTCCAGAATGTTCAACTCCGCTAATAGGAAGTATTCATCTTTTATAGCATTCCTTCAACCTGTTAAAGAGAACTTCTCCGGTATCGTCAGAGAGTTTGGGACAGTGCAACAAACCTTTTCCACTTCAACTTTGCATATTAAATCTTTTTTTGTTTTATAAAATTTTAATCAAATAGTTTGAAGTTTGAAAATGATGAAATGATAAAAGCAGTGATAAAATGAAGAGCCTTAAGAGAAACTTCAACAATTTAAGATTTAAATTTCGGGAGCTTCTAATTTCCTCTTTTTTTTCAATCCAATTTATCCGCTTTAGTTATTTTCGTCCTTTTAGATCGTTCTAAGAGACATCTCATTTTTATTTAAAAAAAAAAATAATACATTCCAGGAAGACCTCTTTTGTTTCCATCTAAATGCAATATCAAATTCGTTTGAATCGGATCTGATGAAAGATACTTCCTGAGTGGTAGTAAGTTTGAAGGAATCATAAAGCAGAATTATTTGAATTGTAGAAGAGACAGATATCAGCAAGTGTTTAATGAAGTAAAGCAAACCTTGCACATTCTGCACCTTACCTTTTTTATGTCTTTCTGTCAGCATTCTCTGTTTTACGTAGTTAGCCTTAGTTCGATTTAGTGATTGCAGCAGTGAATTCTATGAAGCACACTCACTTTACATAAAATGCGGAATATCTGATAGAAACATCGTTTGCGATTGTAATCGATAATCTCGTCTTCTTATTTCCTTTATAATTGGCCAAGTGCGATTAAAAAGTGAGTTTTTATTCCGCAGCTGATTAATTGACTGAATAATTTAAGCATGAATTGAGTTATATACATTTGACTACAAATCATCGATGCGCTATTTTGCATTTAACTACTTTAACGATAAATTCTGGTCGTTGTTACTGGAATTCTCCACGAGCAAAAGCAAACAAAGTGAGCAGAAATAGGGCAGAAGTGTACGAGACATTTACAGAGTGCTTTAAGGAGTAGAGCGGTACTGAAACTCAATCCAAACCTCAGAATAACTTCACACGAATCTGAGCTGCTTCCCTGATTTCATCTATTTCAATCATATCACTGGTAGAAACAGGACACTTTCCTTCACACTGCAAATGGTGGATTTTGAAATTGAAGATTTTTTTAGGAATTAATTTTATATGTTTAAATGAAAGATGACTTTGTTGTGGTTACTGAATGGTTCGCAGTTGCATTGATTGCAGTTGTGATAACATTATTGATAGTGCTCCTCACTGATCAGAAGCAAAAGAGTTGTTTTGCGGTGGCCATTTAGTGTTTGATTCTGCCAATTGTCACTCATTTTCAATTTATTCGGATGTATTATGTAAAAACTATCCAGGGGAAACTAATCAGGTTATCCTGCTTGCATGGGCGTGTGTAGGAAGCGGGGGAATCAATTTCAAGTTGGACAATGAAGTCCTTGACTTTTTGGACCTTCTTCAGTTTTTTCAATCGGACTTAGTTTAGTAATGGAGAGAAGTAAGTATCATAATATCTTTCAGGTGCAACTGCTAAGTCTTTTGTTTATGCATAGACTTAAATTATTACCATTCACTCTTGGAACAACAGAGATATCCGTGACCAAATCTTACTTCGGCACTGAGCCAATCTTTTTTCTGCTCAGTGCCACGTGAGGACAGATTTTCCCGCAACAATGTTCCCATAAAGGAGGGACTGGCTTATCCATTATTTTTTTCAATTGAGGTGATCTATTTGTCTTTAAAAAAAAATAAACGCCTGATATTCAGTGCCAAAAATTTATGCAATAAACAAAGTTCGAACCTCGTGAATTAACATCGCATCAAAGAAAACACAGATTTTGAAAATGTCAACAAAAATATTACATGGAAAGCCGAGCACAAATAACTAATCATGTGGCCTAGTGCTGAAGTACTGTGGTTGTAAAATGTTGGCTCCTTTTCCAAGTTCACTCTCATTCTCATCGCGTTAGCTGCCCAATCTCCCTGTTCAAGTTATAGGCTCAGAGAAGGAAACAAAACAAAACAGTGGGAATTTCTAAATACATGAAACTGCCTTGCTTGTCACATTCTTGATTGCCCAAATAATCACAAACAACTTGTTTCACCATCCAGCAAACACAGTTCAACAGTGTCCGAAAATATTTCTTGAAACAGTCGAACTTTTATTATTTTCTCGTCAACCTCTACATTTCTCACGAATTTTGTCGGATTGCCCGAAATCGAACGCAAAGGTAGATGTAAACGGAAGTTTTCCGAGCCAAGGTATCAGTCCACTGTTAAATTAACGGGAATTATTTGTAGTCTAAAGCAAAGAATAACTCCACAGAAATTTTTCCTTCAACTAAATCTACTTCAGAATATGCTAAACATCGGTAAGTACCGGAGAGTTTCAGGTTGATCTTTCCAAATATGAGGAACTATCCATTTGAAATTTCAGCATGCGTTGGATCTCGCCACTGGATAGTTGATCGTAGGTTACTGATCGCGTCACTGGTCAAGATTAATCTCTTCTCTCCATAGCAGTAATGGCAGCGGGGAAACCAACTATTCTTGGTGGATATTTTCGCAGGATTCCAGAAATATACAAATTCCTGTATCTTTTCTTATTAATGATACCTCTCATCTTTTTCCTCTTCATTATAATACGTGCCAAAGCCAATCACTTGCCGTGTAAAGTCGTGTGCCAGAGAGATTCCAGGCTGAGGTTATGTAATCTCGATAGATGAAGAATCAGCACTAGCGTGGAAGCAGCAGAAATGCAAATGTGATCTAATTCTAAATTATCATTTAGATGGTTTAGCAGCTTGGGATGATTCCGGAACGAATTTTTCTCTATCTTCACTGTTTGGTATCTGCAATGATAACTTTTGAAAATTAATTTATAATATATTGCCAGGAAGCAATTTGAATCGAAACAATTGTCCCGACAAGAGAGAAGAATTGAAATTGCTTTTTCAGACTTGCCACAAAAAAGTGAATGAAGTGAGAGCAATTTATCAGTATGGTCTCACTAGAAGTCTCAGATAAATTAAGAAGACTTATGGATTAAGCTTGAAGATCAGCTGAACAACAAGATCTTGCAGATTGAGTTCATCATATTCGGTTATGGTCAATTTCAGCAACTTCTCAGCATCTCATTAGTTTAAAGTTATTCATATTGATCTCAATCAAATAAACTTACTGGATAAATGGATTGTGAAAAGCTCACCACTTCGCAACAGCCTTCCAATTGGGACTTAACTTGACCTTAGCTTTGCGTGGTACTTCTAAGAAAGAATTCTGAGCGAAATTCAAGTTTTCTATTTGCAGCATTTCATTAATGATCTCGGTTATGCGTCGGATATTCTGCTGTTAGCAGGTGAAAATGTTTTGAGACTTGAAAAGTTCAACAATTCCGGAAAATACCTTCGATCAGGTTATCATCCAAACAATGCTCTCTTAGATCAGGAATATGCAGTGATAAATTCAATCTTTTCAGATGGTAAAACTGTCGAAATTCGTCGAGATATCTTTCAATTTGTTGTATGAAATGTGCAATTTTACGACTTCCACATTGAAGTTTTAATTCATAATTGCCGGAAACGATCTTATAGGAGGACCATGGGGCTGTGATAGAAGAAATTGTTTCAACATGGAATCCTAGCCAATGACAATGACAAGAAGTAACGATATTGTAGAGGATGAACAAAGTATTGAGAGGCAAAATAAAATCAGAGGACGGGGAAGCTCGTCTCTTTCTGGACATTTGATTAATCGAGTCGGAAGTTATTGGTATGGATTGGAGGGAATAGATAAGATGAATATGGGACAGACAGCTGACCATCAGAAGCAAAAAAATAGAGGTCAAGGTAACTCTTCATGACCCTTCTCCATTAATGCCTGTTTGTTATCCTTCTCCTCGCCCCTCGCCTTTCGCAATTCTTTTATTATGTTCATTTTGCTGTCATTCTTCACGGAAACCTTTTTAAATCCAACCACAATAAGCTTTTTATTCATTTTCATTTCTAAATATTAGCAAATTTTTTCAACAGTTTTGTTAATTTTAAATGCAAAATTGAATTTTTAATAAGACTTTTGTAACTTTTAAGTTTCCCAAACATCAACTGACTATTAAATCTAAAGTTCGAATTAAAGATTTAGGATTATAATTTTGCAAATTCTAGATCTTCATAGAACCTTTCATTTGTCTTAATTTGATGGAACTTTTGGTCCCTTCTTTAAATCAAATTTCCATTAACCTTCGCCAGAAAACTTCACATATATCGGGTGCAAGATTTGACTTTCCGATCGATTTCTTCAGCACCGTTTCAAATGGAAGTTTAATGAGTTCTTCCTTTCATAAAGCTACTTCAGACCAATTTAATCGAAAATCCACTTTCAAGCTCTCGTTCTTTTATTTCAAATAGCGCGCCTTTCTCAAGACCCTTTCAAGACCCCTTCACATCAGCTCATTGTAGTGTGGCGATATTCCCTGACATGGCCATTGGGATACGGTAGCGCGTTTAGGATCGAAGGACGGAAGGGAGCTGTCGGTGGTTTCGCTTGCTGCGGGGAGGTTTGTTTTTGTTGCGTCAGGTTAGCGGAGAAGGGAGCGTGAACTCTTCCCCGTGCTAGTATAGTAGTATCACACGTAGGGACGTGACTTAAAATCGACGTGGCCTTGAAATCGATGCAAACAGAGCAACAATCAGCTGAGACTGCGTGTTCTTCCTAAAATTGACTCGTTGCTTCGGACAACGTATCAGCCGAATAATCCGCTTTTCCTGTAATCGCGTAGATTATACGCACGCAACTCTGCATTACGCTTTTACTGGATATGTAAGTAATTCTCGTTGTTTTATTTCCTTCTTGTTACTGTAAAGAACAGAATTTTAAACGGGAAAGATGTGATGTTTATAGTTTAGGATTAGGATTTCCTTTGGTCTTCAGTTCGAGTGTTAGTGGGTATACTCGTTGATAACAGTGTGTGTGATACCATGCAGTCCTTGTTGCTAGCTTACTGAAATCGTGAAAATACCATTGCGATCAGTGACCAGTGCGACTCGATAAATAACTGAAGACTTGGCTTACTGAAGGCATGAGATAGTTACGTATAACAGCGCGTGAACTATCGGAGTGAATCGTATATCTCAGTTCACTGGACTTTTTTTTCCCATTGTTCACATTTAAAACAGCTAAATATGTGACATTTTAATTTAACTTAAATTCATTGTGTTCACAAAGATGAGGATGTCTGATAGATAGTGTTATTTAGGTTGCAGTATTCTCAATACATAGTAGTAGAACACGTTCATGCACGGTGGATAGCGATTAAAACAGCATTTGGCAAAGCTAAGCATTATAGAAAATGAAAACTACTTCATAAATTAACTTGAAATCGTCGATGGTGATTAGAGTGTGCGATATAACTATTTGAATGGCTATTGTAATATTTCGTGCTAATGATAAAAGCTCCACTTATCATTTCACTCCATTGTATCATTGTAGCTCACTTCAGAAATCTTTCGCTTTCTTAAATGTCTTTTCTATCAGTTCATACCATTAGGATACTGTTTTTGATATGCAATACGCTGTTGATTGACAAAAGGTATTCTTTCCTTGCCACCTGGAACTCGCATGTACATCATTACAAATAATTTATTGTTTTGTATTAAAGCTTTTCTTCAAATTACGACTGAAATCATTTTGTAGTGCGTTTCTCGCATAGACGATGGCAGAACACGAACACGATCACGATTTTCATACGGGCGATGCTGGTGCTGCTACAACATACCCCAAACAGTGCTCTGCTCTTCGCAAGAATGAGAACGTTATGCTCAAAGGTCGTCCGTGCAAGGTAATTGATAGCTTTTGGACTTGTCTATGGGTACACTGACCGGTAATGTTAATCATAGCAAGTTAATAAGGAAGAGAAGTATTGTGTGTATACGGATAATTCGGAACATTCATTAACTATAGTTAACAATGCTTTTTCATTTTTTTAACATTTAGGTACATCTAGGTATTTTGCAGTCCGGCCAGGATTTTTTTTTTGTTTCGAGGGCGGTGAACGTTATAGCTTTTTCATAAAAGTAGGTTGGTTTTCTTGCTGAAACAAAAAGATGGGAAAAGGGTGATTTCAAACATCGGAGCACGGTATTGCAGGGAATCTTTTAAAAATAATCTCTGTGTGGCATTTCTGCTGACAAGAGATTTCACAATCTTGAGATTTCTTGGCATGGATAGAAGCACTGAATCCTGTAAATGGATATCAATGTATAGCGGGATTTCGATTATTATCAGTAATAGTTTGTAAATTTTAATGTTGCCTGAGATAAAACTGAAATGTATGCAGGTTGTTGAAATGAGCACTTCAAAAACTGGTAAGCATGGACATGCAAAAGTCCATCTTGTTGGCTTAGATATCTTTACTGGCAAGAAATTGGAGGATATATGTCCATCTACTCACAATATGGATGTTCCTGTCGTGAAGCGTAAAGAATATCAGGTTTATTAATGGTTCTTAAAATAATAAGATTGATAAGATTTTGTTGCATCAAGTTAGAAGAATTGCATGGTGAATGAAGTATGATTAAAAGCAGTCTCAGTACGAAATGTGGAAAGGACGTGTAGGAATGAAAGTGTTGAGATGATGGGCAGTGAACAGGTTCAAACAATTTTTGTCAGTTCTGCTAATTGGAATTGCAGCTCCTGTCAATAAACGACGACGGCTATGTCAGCTTAATGGATCTAGATACATGTGAAACAAAAGATGATTTGAAGTTACCTGAGGGTGACTTGGGAGAGCAGATCAAACAGGCGTATGAAAAAGATGAAAATGGGATACTGGTAAGTTTTTGGTATTTGAACTTAGTGAGTAAATGAGGGAAAAATGTATAGTAAGTTTTTCAAAAATTAGGGAGCTCTAATGATGTTCGTTATGCTCGTCGCTTGCGATAATCATGTTTACCAATTTTTAGTGCCTCGTTGTTGCTGCATGTGGTGAGGAAGCGATACTTGGTTATAAGAATATGCCGAACAAGGAAGAAAAATGAGGCGTTTGATGATCAGTGCTGAGGAATGTCTCCGCCATCATGTTTGATTTATGGATAGTCATTGAATGTTACGTTTCGCTTTTTTTTGAAAACGGAATATATCGATCACATCGACTTGTTCCCAGTACCTGTCGTTGATTAATTTTTATAGTGTCAGTCCGTCATACCTGATAATTAAAACGATGTTTTTTTGTTATTGTAATCATTTATGATTAATTGATCGTGCTTATTACTGGGGTTATATGTATCCTCGCTACATCAGCGTTGCATAATTTTTTTGTGACGTTTTTAATTTTTCTTCTAATCTTAACCCCAGTCGAGATGCGCGGATAAGCCTTCCCCTCGCATACTCTTTTCTGCTTCAAATTATGACTACTCGGCATTTTTTTAAAAAGTTGTTTTGTTGAATAAACTATATACCCTTTTATTTCATTGATTAAATAGGTTACTTCATTGAGCGTTGAATTTGAGACAATCAAGTTCAGAAAAAATTTAAAGGATATTCGTGTTTAGATGCTGCTATCATGGATCCATATTTCTAAAATATTTCAAAATCACACAAAAAAAAATTTTATCATAATCTACTACATCATGAGGTCTTTCGTCACGTTAAGTGCCGTTTTGAAAAGCAAATGAGCAATCTCAGTTTGGATCTTCGTGTCTCATGTGAGATCTTTGAGCTCATATGAGTTGAAAACATGCGTGATGTTGCACATCATCACCAATTGAAGCATAAGATTACAATCATGATTTTTGGAAACGTTTGGAAGAGCTGTGTTTTATTTCGTAACCGGAAATATAAAAGATTTTTCATAAGCATTACCGAATTTAGAAGTGCTTTATAAAAACGATGCGGTTGGCGTTGTCTGTATTTCCTTGTTGATTTTATTAGTTATTGGTATTCTTGTTGATGAGTGGTTCGTTTCGGAATTTCAGTTTAAACCCGATGTCTTCCCCGAACTCATTGTGCTTTATTCTATTCATATGTTGTCACCAAAATCTTCCCACAACTAGCTAAAATTAGCTTAGCTCAATATCGGTAATGGCAGCGACGGCACAAAAAGGCAGAGGTTTTTAAAGAATTTTTTTTACTACTGCACGATTCACATGCGAATAGCAACGCATATCGCCTTTTCATGTTCGACGATGATCTGTCAAGAATGCTTTTACCAGTGCGAAGACACTTCAGCGTTTCAACGCCATTCATACAGATAATTCAACTTGATTTAACCAGACAACCGTGGCAGTGTTTAGCGAGACTGTCATTTGTTTAGCAGGGGAGGCGATAAACTCCACAGTCTAAAGCCACTTATAGTTCTGCTCCCTTCTCATCCACTTCTCGAAATAATCACTAGTAAAACTGAGTTGTCGGGAAACGCTTCCAGTATCTGTGCATTTATTATTGCTTATGTACTTACTGTAGTGCTTGCTTATACATTGTAGCATCTACATGTGGGAACATTAATTCATTCTTTTTGCTGCAGTATTTATTACAGCACTTACTCATTCATTAGTATTGAATATGGTATATGTAACTGATCATTTTGTGTTCTGATTAAGTTTAATCGATTAAGGGTACTTATGATAGTTCAGAACGGGTGGGGTGATCGCCGTATTATTCTGAATAAAAATTGATTAAAGATTCATCGTTCAAGACGAATTATAATATGGGTTGACCGAGTCAGTAATAAGCTTACTTCCATTCAGGAAGCATGCAGATATGGAAGCGGAAGCAAGCAGTTCGGGTAACTCAACAACAAGCGAAACTGTTCAAACTGAGGTAATGATGTGCTTTACAGTTAGTAGCACAGAAAGGAACCGTAGCAAATATAGAATCACCATCAATATTAATATTTTGATCCATTTGATTTCAGCCACCACCATCGGTACAGCCTTATGAAGTAAACTCGATGATACTTTGCAGCCATACCGATAATCTTTTTTATGAAGCCAAAATAATCGCTGTAAAAATGCAACCAAATGGAGACTATATGTATACTGTTCATTATCAGGTTGTCTTTCAATTATTTATAGAAACAATAAAGGACATATTTTAGAGAGATAAAGTTATTATAGGCGAAATATTGAAAGCATCAATGTGATTAGTGAATCCTATTGTCAGGGATGGAGCAAACGGTATGATGAAAATATCCCACACAGCAGGTCTGCATCACGATTTCGTCCTTTTACACCGGACAATATTGAACTTGCAAAGGTAATATTGACGTTACTACTATGGCATTTGTCTTCATGATTTTGGCCGTATGAATTAGTTGTTATAAACCAAAATTCCATTTAAAAAACGTGGACAAATAAATGAGCTACTAAATAATGCTGATTTGTATGTATCTTGAAAATTTTTGATTAATCAGTAATATATAGTATCTAATTTTTGGTTTTAGAACACGACCAATGGAAGTTAATATGTTAATGTTAAGCTGCAACTTTTGTTAGGACGACGTAGATTATCATTCCATGTCATCAGCAAACGCGCAATGGTCAAAAAAGTGATGAAAATATTAAATATTTTTGCACGGAATAATAATTGTAGGTTGAAATGAAAGAAGCGAAAGCTCGAGCTGCTGAGATGATTAAAAAAAAGAAACCACAAAAGGCAGAAATTCGGCGTGGGCGTTCATCCTTACAGTTATCAGAGTCTTCTTCTAGTAAGGGAACTTGTAAGGGATTAAATTTTACTACTCTCAGTTGTAGTTTTCTTTTTCCATTGATACTTGTTGCAGTTATGATGGATCGTGAAAAGATATTTTTTCGAGAATAATGGTCTGTTGAGCTTTTTGCCGTTCAGAATATTTTTGTTAAATAATCCATAGTTCATGATTCAGTTATCTTTAGTCGGATCACTAACATACATAAATTACTACTTTTTAGATGTGTCTCGAGATGTTAAATCCCTAGTCAATCACAGTGCTCTTGGGAGCAGCTCGACGGAAAGTTTATCGAGAAGTCCATTCATAAATGAGGTTAAAAAACAAACAAACTTCTAACAACTTTTTGTTTGGACTCTCTTAATTGGCCAAGCAGTTAGCCAATTCCTGCTGAAATACTTTTTAGAAAAAATTCTTTAGGCGGTATCAGTTCCAGAAAAGCTGAAAGCTCTACTAGAAAATGACCGTCATTTGGTTGAAAATGAACTGAAGTTACCGCGCCTACCATGCCGCTTGACTGTTTCAAAGATTATGAAGGAGGTGATGCATTAGGCTGTATTTCTTTACAAGTTTACTAGCCAAAATTTTAATATTTGAAGATATCCACAGGAAATTAAAATCACGTTGTTGATAAAGCTAGATTAAAATACTTCCAAAAAACAGTTTATATTATCAGTTCTCTTTATTTTTTCGTCACACTTTTTTATTCTGGCCAAATTTTCAAGAAAATTGGAAAATCAGACGGGTTTAAAATTGAGAAGAATATTTTTTATATCAGCTTATTCATTGCAGTATGTTATGCACGTGCGTAAATTGGATGCTGTATGCTCGGAAGTTAAAGTACATAAAGGACGAGCACGTTATTGGAAGGGTGTTGTAGCTGCGTTAGATGAATGTGCAGATAATATGAAAGTAATTTCTTGCAATTTTTAAAACTGAATTAGATCACCGATCAAATTTCGAAATACTATGGATGAAAAGAAGAGAATAAAAGCGTTAATATTATCACATGCATGAAAATTTTAAAAGTACTGTTTTTTATGAAGATCGATATTTCTGGTTTGCTATAGAACGTCTTGCTATTATCACATCTTATCTTCGAAGTTTCATATTTCAGAGTTTTTTCGATCTGGTTATAGCATCTGATATATTGTATCCAAACGAAAAGTTGCGTCATAAGGACTTGACTGAGGAAGGTTCAGGAATAATTCATCCACACAGTATATCAGGTACGCTACCTCAATCACGTGCAAACATATCTTTGTAAAATAAAATAGTTTAAAGAGTATCATATTTTAAAGAACTACTTCCTACTGATTGTTCGACTGTTCAACGTGTGCCTGAAATCTCATGCTTTTAATGAATTTCAGATCTTTTGAATGAACCAAAGAGAAGACTTCGTGCGTCGGAATATTATGGTTTTATTTATTTGCTTCGACTTCTTATTAGGTTTCCCGAAATGATTGAGTGAGTTATTGGGATCACTTAATACAGATTCTCATTTTCTCAAAAGAATGAGAATTTAATCCTTCAAGCTGCAGTCCCGAGTATCTATTTCTGCCTACTCATAATTAATTTTAGGTATATGTTATGTGACAACGATTCGAAAGAGATTTTGACTGCTTTTGTCCAGTCATTTGTTCGTTATTTGGGAAGTAATTCTGAGAAATTTTTCAATCCAGAGTTGGACTATGAAACCATCACTCAAGAATACAAACTGCGTCTCCAGCAAAATTCTAAACTTTAGCCACAGTTTCATCGCCACATGTGCTTCTAATCTGTCATATATATTTAGCACGCAACTGCAAAACTTTGATT